CATGTGGGGGCGGGGGGGGGTAAGAATGGGTACCCGGGATCTAAGAATGAAGGGTGTCCAATTCCTTTTAGCGGGGGTTCAGTTTTGGAGGGAGGGGGTTTGATGAATCTGGGGTCAACATTAGGGGCGAAAACACGAATTGCACACCTTCCCCTAGCCCCATTCCACTTACTTCAACTCTACGCCAGGCTGTACGTCGCCTCAGTTTCGTTTCCCAGCTCACATGCAACCAAAGCGAATTGATTTTTTGGATTCCCCCTTGGCCCTTCGGGTTCCAATTTTTTTTGTCACCCCAAGAAGAGATCACCATGTGTTTCCTTGATTTTTGGGGTCCGCCTTTCATTTGCCAGGTTCCCTTTTGGGCAACTGAGTTTTGCCCATTTCAGTCAGGGAATTGTCTGCTAGTGATAAAGGGTGTTCAATCTACTCAGTAAGTTTTTGCCACTGTACGCGAACTATCCCCAGATACCAACCACTTGTAACTTGGTTAGAGCCTACTTGCGAAACTACTCACAGGGGCCAAAGACTTCTATGCCAGCCTGCCAAGCACTTGGTGCACCAATCTTTGCATGAAGACAAAGCAACCCCGCTGAACTTGACCATATAAGCGGAGGACAAGGTACTAAATAGGATTCCCATCGGTTCATATGTATACATATATATATATATATGATATATGTATTTATATATATATACATATATGTGGACCTATACACTGTCAGCCTTTCAACAAAGTTTACCAACCACTTATGACTTGGTTAGATCCTAAAGAAGCTAACCCCAGGTGTCGACCACTAGACGGTCGTCAGAACCTGAGGCCAAGAGGCGCGGATGCGCAGCCCAGAGCTGGCATCCAGCAGTGCGGAGCCCCAGACGTCCTCTGGGACGTCCCAGAGCTCCAGACGTCCACTTGGTGTGTGTGCGTGTGTTTGTGTGTGTTTTTTTTTTTTTTTTAATCGGGGGGGCCGTGTTTTTGTTGAGTTTGGCGGGGGGGGATTGTGTGTGTGTGTGTGTTTTTTGGTGGGGGGCCGTCTTCTTTGTTTGGTTTGGCGGGGGGGGGATTGTGTGTGTGTGTTTCTTGGTGGGGGGCCGTCTTCTTTTTTCGGTTTGGCGGGGCAGACACGTGCTTGTTTTTTGAAGCGGGGACCATCTTTGTTTTTTTGGTTGGGGGGGGAGTCTCTTTTTTGGGGTCTTTTTGCGGGGGGACCCCTCAACCATGGAAACGGCTTGAGTGTTGGTTTTCACATCCATGCTGTCCAAGGGGCCTACTTCTTCGTTGCCAAATTCGTAAGTTGTAGCGGTAGGTTATGACTCCCATCTTGCGAAGTCACCTCTGGGGTTCACCGGGTTCGACCGGGTTTCTCACCCCCGTGGCTAACCACAGCCACCCCCGGACTGCCAGAAACTTTTCACTTTTTGCAGGGGGGCAACCACGCCTCACAAGGCGGGCCCCTCAGATTAAGGCCAGCGGTTGAGACCCTGTTGGAGAGAGGAATAACATGTGGTGAGCGAAATTGGTGTGTTTTCTTTTGGCTTCGTCTCGTTTCACTTCGGCGTGGGATCCACGCCCCTCCAAGTGAAGATGTACCATGTCTGAATGGCAACGGCCAAGACTGCGTCCGCTTGAGTCCAACTTCCCAGTGGGGCTGGGCCCTTTTAAAGACCTAAGAAGCTGGATCACCTGGCTGCCAAATAGCCAATGTCTCAAGGTGCCCGAAGGAGAAACCGGATCGGGATGGGTAAGTTGTTTTATTATATATATATATATATTTTTTTTCAGAAGACTAGTTGTAGCACGCAGCTGAGCTTGGCTGATTTATTTGTTTTTTAGCTTGCCCAGAAACCCGGTACTACTTCTGCTAAAACCTCATGTTGTTTAGTTTCTGGACTTTAGCTGTGCTGTCTTCATGTCTTTGGTCTGTGTGGTTTCCAGTCTTGCTGTTGGGTGTTCACTGGGGAGTGCAGGGTCTCATTCTCTCATTCGCCTATTTGCCGAACATCAAGAAGTCGACTTGCGTCGAGATCCCTCGTGTATTCTCCATTGCGCATCTGCCGAAGGCAAGGAACTGCCTAGAGTCTCCATGACCCTAAATAAAAATGGGCCCATGACCCTTTGATTTTGGGTAATCACCCCTTTTTTTTAAGGGTCAGAAGGAGACTCCGGGTAGATCCTTTTGGTGTTGAGTGGTTGGATTTCCATGCTGTGGGTCAAGATAAAAACCACCAGGAATTGGACCGCTTGTGAATCACGCTGCAGCTGGAACAAATCCAGTTTCGCAAGAGGCCATGGGAACGCAAGCCTGTGTTCCCCGTGCTTCTTGGAGGAGGCTTCCCTTTCTGAAGGGGTGGTTTCCCTCTGTCCCCTTTTTTTTTGGAGGGGGGTATTCTTTTGTTGGGATGGTACCGACTACCGCTCTAGGGGTTGATTTTCCATTCTTTTCAACCACCGTTCTTTTCAATCACCAGCTGTTGCCCCAGAGTTTTGGGTGGTTTTGTAGAAAGATTCGGATGCCTGGAAAGAATGGAATTAGAAGGTACCCCTAGAGTGTCCAATGGAAATTGCAGTTCCAAAGATCCAACCACATAGCCATAAAGAATGTATATGATGTTGCTTCGTTGGGTTGCTTCATTGGGAAGGTAGCCCTAGAACTGTTGGAATGGAAAAGGTAGCCCTAGATTGTTATTTCTTTCTTTTTTATAACCTACACTCCCAAAAAGGGATCCATCTCAACAAAAGAAGCCCATACATGGTTGCTCCATGGCTGCCCCGGGCTCCGAGGCCGGCGCCTGAGCCCCGGGCAGCGCCTGAGCCCCCGCGGCTTCCTGGCAGCGGCTTCGCTGAAAGCGCCGCCGCTGCCCAAGGCGAATCGTCAGAAGAGCCCCGACACGGTGGACATGAGCGGCGTGATGAGGCCGGCGGCCGGCGGGGCGGGGGGGGGGGGGAGGTCCTGAACTTGATGGCTTTTTGGGAACGGAGTCTTTGGGTACTTGAAGCTTTTTTGGGTTGAAACTTTGTGGATGAGGCAGGGGAGGGACTTGGGCTGGGCGTTTTGAGACGGGCTGCGACCAGACAACAGGTCATGGATCTGTTCATTATATAATAGCGACATATATATATATATACATGTATACTAGGTCCCCCAGCTAGGTGCCCTTCTACTAAATTTAGACTAAGAAAAAAAATGCTACCCTCAGTCTGACCTCTCTACTGGAGGACCTAGTAATTAACTCCCGAAAAAGCCATGGTGATCACCGACTTACGCAGCTTGAACACCCAAGTTGAGGCAGAAGACGCTTGTTCCCCCCTTCGAAAGAACGTCCTCCTTCAGGGTTTTTGGATGGCATTTCTCTCCTTCCCCAAACTCTCCCACCCACTTGCTTCCCATTCAGGAACTCCCCTCTATACCCTCTTTGTCAATGTTTTGTTCGGAGAACCTGGATTTTCATGGAAAATTCCTTTGTTAGTAGAGGGTTCACACGATACCAAATTCGAAGCAGGTATTGGATGGTTACGGGGGTAGAAACTACCTGACGTCCGTTGGACATCCGAGCAAGTGGCCGTTCAAGAGCAGACTGTGAGTAGGGCCCTGTGAGAAGTGTCGTACATTCCCGGCATGTTACTTGCTGGTGCGATAGGTAGGGAATGACCGGGTCCGGGTTTTGGGAATGAACCGGAAGGGGGTTTCCCTTAAAGGAAACCATGAGGGATAGTTGTTCTTTTCTTTTTTTCCGGGGTTATGCCATTTCTCATTCCCTGCTGAAGCACCAGCAAGTTTACATACATGATCGTCTCTATAGTTTCCATTGGGTAGCGTAATGATTTTAAACAGGGGCATTTACAAGGAAGCCTCCAGCTGCCCCTGCACCCTCTACTTCAATCGACACGTAGATCTGGGGCGAGCATTAGTCTGAGGTGGCAGCAGTTTTTTGCTCGGGCAACATATCCAACAGTCAAATATGTTCCATGGACAGACATGTGGGGGGTAGGCCAGGGACTCCAATTTACCCTAGGGGTAGCAACTTTTGGCCATGGCACTGCGCTTCCGCCGCCGGCGGAGGCGGGGCTTGCCGAAGCGCCACCGGCCAGGTCCATTCAAATGGGCCCCAGCCGGGAGGATGACCAGGACACCTCAGAAGTGCCGGAGGGTCGCAAGTCCTTTGCCGCTGGGCAAGCCAGACCTCCGGTGTGCGTTGGGGTACCCATTTTGAGAGAAAGCAAAGGGAAACCCGTGGCGCATTTTGTGGTGTGTTTGCTTCAACTTTGAATGAGAGGGGCTAGGCCCAGTATGGACCACAGGGCCGCCCAAAATGCAACCGTTTCTTTTGGAGGGCTTTCTTTTGGAATCCGATTGAAACCACAAAAAAGGGGTAGCAACTCCAAAAAAAGACAGACCCGGCTACCAGAAGTCCGCAGGTGCACAAAGCGAAGGTGAGCTGTGTGTTCAAAGCAGTTGGTTTTCTGGGCCGGCGCTTGGAGAGTGGCAAGCTAGAGTCCACTCCCGGACCTTTCCTGGACTTGAGTCACTTTTTGGGGCTGGAGTGAAATCAAGAGTTCAGTTTTTGTTTGGCCATCCACTCAGGAAGTAGGCCGGGGGGGTGGGAGGGGCCAGGGAGGGGGGGGGATGTGCTGCGCTGCTTTTCATCCGCATGCCCAGCATTCGGCCCACCGAGTCAATCCCGCCGGACTCTTCAAGGAATTGGAGCAGACTAGAGACACGGGATTGTCTAAATCAAGCATCCCAAAATGGCCCGGCTTTCCTTTGTTCCTTTGAAGCCAGAAGAAAGATAAGGGTGACTTCAACAAACTTCAAACACATACATTTGCACATCTCATTTTACAAGCCTGACACACAGCACGCCTTTGCTCGCTTTTGAAGAAACTCGGCTAAGGGGGGTACCAATTCCAAAAAAAACTTCTGAAACAAAACACACACATCCAACAAAGCACGAACAACACACGAACTACTCAACAAACACGAAATCAATCAAATATCAGCGATAACTTCGGGAACAACAACTTAAATCCAACAAAGCGCGAACTTCTAAACTGACATCTCAAACAGGAGATCTTCTAAAACTCAGCAACCGCCCCCCAAACAAAAACAAAACTATACGTGGAATCTCCAACAGCCCGACCTTCCAAAACGTGGCTCCCAGCCATCCGGTTCCTTAGATTTTTGGCGTTTTTAGCATTTAGTGGGGTTTTCCAGTTTATCCACTAAAAGTTAAGCTTTTAGAGGATCTGAGGACAGTTTAAAAACGTGGGGAGAACTCCTCCCTCGGCCGTAGGCCACCTTCCACGGCTCAGAGCCGGGCCCCGAGATCTACGCGGTGAAGCAGGCGCTCGCTTGATCGCGTCTCGCTGAGGCGATGAAAACCCGTTGGGTCCGGCAGCTGCCCGACCTCTCACCGTTTCTTTTTTGGTTGGGAGGGGTCAACCCTACTAACATAGACGGAAAAAAAGTGGGTGCCCTTAATTATTCTATCCTCTCCACTGGAGGACCTAGGACCCCTCGGGGGGTCCCAGGTAGCCTCAAACAGGTTCCGGCAGCAGCCAAAACCAAGGGTTGGGCCAGGCCATTCTTTCAGTGGGCTGAAGGGTTCGGGGTACCCCACGTCTCACTTTCTGAGTTGCCAGCTATCGAGCTGAGAGGACCTTGCAGGGTTTCCCATGGCCCATGTTTCGTCGAAGCTGTTCATTTCAGGTTGTTTTAGTTGCAAGCCCAGCATCTAAGCACCAAGAGCGAATGGGAGGTGAAAAATTCAGGAGTCATCAATTTGGTGCTAGACACAAGCTCAGTTGCCCAAAGCGAATCGACCAGATCATATTTCCAGTTGTTTTTCTTTTTCGTTTTTCTTTTTTTATGGGGCTCAGCAAATGGAGGTGTACTGAAACGACTGGACTTCTCTTGGATGGTTGGCTTCCCGGGAAACCTGCGGTGTCTCAAGATTGGACCCTCCCAAATTGGTTCATCTTCTGGTTGACCTTGGAGCGACTGAGTTTTGACTTCTAGGGGCTGTCACAGTCAGAACATGGGGGGCGTCATGTCTCTTTAGCACAATGATGATTTTGATCATGGTGAAATCATGGGCCAGTTTAGTCACTTTTTGCTGGACCACTTTAGTGGTAAATGAAAAGTTTGGTTACTTTTTGGGGCCAATCCACTCAGGACGTGAGCCATATTTTTTTTCGGGTTTGGGGGTAGTTCAAGCGGGTTGTCAGCAGGTTCCTCAAATCCCCGAAGACATGAGGTACTTGGACCCTTTGGTTTTTTTAGGCTACCCTTTTTAAGGTTGATTTAACGAAACAACAGGTCCCTGATGTTTGCGACCATACCCAATGAGAAGTCGCCCCTGGGGTGACTTCGCTCGGGGTCGATACGCCCAGCTCCGGAGGTTCGGGAAGTGGCGGGAGACCTGGGCCTTCGCGTTTTGTGTTTGCCGGAATTCCTTTGAAAAGAACCATGACCATGTGGCTCTGGCTCAAAAAACCGGAATTCCAAACTGGAACCCTGATAAGTGGAAACATGGACCAAAACCTGCGGTTTGCCCCTCCTGTTTAATTTTGAGCCACGCCCATGTAGGCAATATAAAAGCCTTGACGATGACTCAAAAAGGAAGCCCTGACTTCCATGTAATTTAGAATACTTGTTCCTTCCCCTTGAGTTTAAAGGGAATCTATCACTGGGCATATGTTTGCATTCTTCCCGGGGGCTTAAGCAAATGGAGTTTCATCAAAGTCACTCCCGGATCGTTCCGTCAAAGGGACGTACTGTGGGTGCACAAAATCCTGCACCACTTTAAAATCGTGCGAAACATGGTTGTTGGTATTTGCAAGGAAGTCATCAGAAACCAGGGTTTCTGAACGGTGGTGCGAAGTGGATTTCACAGTATTGACCTTGTATTTTCCGTTTGTTGGTCCATTTTAAGTCATGGCCCTAAAAGGTTAAGCGTTTATTCCTGGCTCCCGGACCGTTCCGAGAAAGGGACCTATGTTCGCATCGGTTTCCCAAGCAAAAGGAGCCCCTTGTGGAGCCTGGGACTGGGAGGTTCCCCCAATCATGGTTGTTGTTGGGAAACATTTTACATTTTTGCCTATTGTGGTTGAGTGGTTCAAATCCAAATCCACTTTACTGCTAAAAAATAGAAGATTATTTGCTCCCCCTCCAACGCCAACCAAGCCAATTTCTTTCGGGGCCAGGCCAGATTGTGCACGAATTATAATATGTCCAAGGAATAAAACACTAAATGATAGTATGTTCGCATCGGTTTCCCAAGCAAATTGAGCCCCTTGTGGAGTCCGGGACTGGGGAGTTCCCCCCAACGTCTCGTCTCGGGGGCCAGGCCAGTCGCAGGCTCCAGGAGCCTTTGAACCGCGGCAGGGCACTGCAGCGGCACCAGCACCACAGGCGTTTCGGGCGGTCTCACCCCGGGGGGGGGGGGGGGCTGTCAGTTTTAAGCGTTGGTGGTTTTACTGGGGGTGCTGTGGGTTTTTGAGTTTTTTTCATGTTCTACCCATATACCCTCCCACCAACTAACATGGAAGTGCAAAAAGACGGTTTCCAAGAGAAAGTCGTCTTTCTACAGGGGTCTGTGCACTAACCCATGTTAGCTGGTGGGAGGGTAGTGGCTTCCATTTGCCGAAATGAATATGTGTGGTTCCCTTGTTGGTTTTAAAGCGAATCTATCACAAGGAAACCCATGTGCGGGTTGATCAAGAGTCCACCCAATACCTCCTCCCTGGTAGTACCTCCGTGCACATGAACAGTGACTCGAATTAAGTGGATTGGTCAGAAACAGTCCAAGCTGTTTCTTTACCACTTGGATGGTCTTACAAGCTGTCCGAATCAACAGCTTCCTTTGGGGCCAGGACTAAACGTGAGAAGCCGCAAACGGGACATTAAACGGTCAGATCAGGTCGATGTGAGCGTCTAAGCCATGCCCCAGAGTTCGAACTCCCAAAACGAGCGAAAAAAATGCGGGTTCATGCAGCGCGGATTCATAGCTGTCCATTCTAGGCGAGTTTGGCTAAAAATCGATGGGTTTCACTGATTCAGGTGGGGTCTTATCCCATTTGCCAGGGCCATCTATTGTTCCAAAAGGCCACCTACAGGCGCGGACCCTTTAGCCAGGCGTCACTGGATTGTCCCAAATCAAAAGTTGCAATCTGTTGATCGGCTCTATTGAATATGCCACTCTCGGAGGTCAACCAAAAGTCCAAACTGTTTATCGATATACGGGTGTGGCTCAAAATCAAAGAGCCAGGGTTACGCGGTGTTAGTCTTTGTTTCCATTTGCCAGGGTTCCATTTTGGGTACCCATTTTTGACCCACAGCCATACCACCAAAAATGGGTCTTCCCAAAAGTATGCAGCCCAGGAACTCGGGAATTGAGGCAAAAGTTCCCCAAGTCAACCCCAACTTGGTTCAATCGAAAGGGACCAAATGGGGGTTGATCCACAATCCGGGCCCCAACACGACCCTGAGTTTTCTCATTAGTGGTGATTTGGTCAAATCTGTTTTTTTGTGGTTTCCCTAATGGTCACCCCATGTATATCGGACTTCTATCGGAAAAATCGGGCTTGGATAGTTGGGCGTTGGAAGGGTTCCAGGAAATCAAACTTCATCTTTGAAAACTGGCGGCGAATACTTAGGTCTTGTGCAGGTTCCAAGGCGGTATTGCTGACCACAAAGCAGCGCATATTCATGTTGTGTTCCATGGTGGTTTCTGTTTTGTGTGGTCTGACACACAGGGTGCATGTTTAGGGTTTCCCTGCAAGGTGTAGCCAAAGTTATACTCAATTTAAAGTGAATCGACCTGATCTGACCTTTTGGTTTCCTGTTGGTCCATTTTTAGTCCTTCGTTGCCAAAAATGGTTTCAAATAGGGCACCTGAGAGGACTGAGCACTTCTCATTCTAAGGGTTCCCCATTCTTTCCAACCATCGTTCCTTTCGAAAACCCCGCCGTTTTCCTGGGTTCCCGGAAGTTTTGTAGAAAGAAGGATCCCTGGAAAGAATGGAAATGGAAGGTAGCACTAGAATCATGGTTACATACCTGGATTTGCTCAGTGAAGATATGGCAGGTGTCCGTAACTTAAGTTGTACTGTGGGGAAACCCAATGTCCTGAATACTGTTGCAAACATTGTCCAGGTTGTATAGGCTTTCCATGGGTTTGTGTTTTAGAGGGTACCCTCTTCAGGTTGGCTCGAAGAAAAACCGGAAACACCTTTGGAGGGGTGGTCGCATTGGACCTCCTTTATGATGTAACATTGCAGGGTTCACTGTGAACCATACTCCAAAGTATCATGTTCAAGTGGGGGCAAATAAGGACCTTGTGACGATTATTGTGGAATCCACAAGGGGGATAGGTACAAAGAGGGTGGGTAGTTGAGGGCTCTAGGGCTCCTATTTTTGTTTTGGGGTTCTTAGGGTTCCAAAGGGAACCCCCCCACCCCCTTGGACCAGCCCGTCTAGGGATTCCCGCACGATTGGGTGGAGTGGGAGGCGATTCCACCCGCGGGCTGATCTTCGGAGCCATATCATGGACCCCTACTTAAAGGGGCAGGGTGCTTAGTAAGTGGGTAATAGCCACGGTTATAACCCACTTACCGGGGTTATAAGTCTCCGTTCAGTGGGTTATAACCAGGCTTACTAGTCACTTACTAAGTACCCTGCCCCTCTAAGTAGGGGTGCCGTTTTGGGGCGGGGGCTATCCCTAAAGCCAAGTTAAGAAGCCCTCCAGAAGGCCTCAAGAAGAAGGGAATAGCCAACCCCTCCCCAGTTCCGTCCATGATTTTGGGACCCTCTTTTTTAAGGCTGAATAATTAAGCTTATTTGGGGAGGGTTAAGGAAACTACGCCCCCTCCGCAGTTCGCGACCCAAAAACCCATGGAGAGCGATAGGAGCGATCTCAACAGCTCCGCTGAGCGATTCCGCGAGATGCAGCAGCAGGCAATCGCCCCAAATCGCCAGGCTTTGTAATGGGGGACCCTCCGGTCCAACATGGAACCTACGAGGGAGTCTCTTTGAAAGGAAAATGGGTGTGCGTGTGTGTGTGTGTGTGTGTGATTTGTTTTTTTCAGGGACGCCCTTTTTGGTTAGTTTTAAAGAGAAACCATCAGGAAGACCGAAGCCATTTTGTGGGCCCCCTAAAAAAAACACCCCCCACGATGTGTTTGTGGATGGAGGGTAAGTTTGCCCAACCCCCCCCCCCTTACGGCACTTGCAAGACAAGAACATGCTAAATATGCATGCATGGCGCAATCTAAGTTTGTGTGTATATGCATGCTCCTGTCAATTGCTTGGCTGTTTATAGAGTATCAATCCAATCATCGATACATGTCATACTGTTGACGGACGAAATCCTGCACCGCTGCCGCCATTGTTGACAAAAACCCTCACGCCCCCCGTTCAAATCTGGAAGCTTCAGGGCCCTTGATTGAAAGCATGATGGACCCCCAGTAGTGCCCTTTTACCGTTTCTTTTTTGGGGGAGGGTTCCCCTACTAAAATAGACTGCAGACAAAAAGGGAACCCTTAAATATTCCAACCTCTCTACTGGAGGATGCATTGGAAAGGGGGGGGTGGGGTGTGCTGTCTGTTCAGTGGCAAAGAAGAATTTGGGAGAGGCGGTGCAAGATTTCGTCCGTCAACAATATGTCTTTATATAACACGCCGATATATAGATGGATCTGTCAACGGACGGACGGACGGACGGATGAATACATTGCATTACATTGGATTGGATTGGATTGGATGGGATGGATGGATGCGTCGATACATGGATGCATGGGTGGATTGATAGATAGACATAGACACAGATCTAGGTCTAGATAAGATATCATACAGATGCATGATTGGATTCCACCAAATATATCTATGTACTGGATGGCTCCCAGTTTTTTAGGGTTACCACTGAATGTTGGACTTTTAGCAGGGGATCTCAGGACAGCCCAGTATACACACTCCGCTTGTATGTGCCATGCTTGTGAGCGAAATGCAGCGACCTTGGCGATCGGATAACAACCTCACCCCTGATGATTGATCCTTCCTGTGCTTCAGGCCCCCCTCCCTCCCAACCACTTCAACCACTTCAACCACTCCAACCACTCCAAACACTCCAACCACTCCAAACACTCCAAACACTCCAAACACTCCAACCACTCCAACCACTCCAAACACTCCAAACACTCCAAACACTCCCCTCTCCCCCCACATAACATCCCACCTCCCCCCCCCCAAATGGGCTGTTCCCAGGTCATCAAGGATGCGGAAGAGGACCAGCGGCTCATGGACCAGAAGGCCTACGGGACCCGATGGGACCCCGCCACGTCCGGGAGAGAAAGATGGTCAGGTTGTCCACCCAAAAGCCTCAGCTTCCTGAGTTGCTTAAGCTTCGCTTTTTGGGGAAGCTGGGCCAGCTGAGTGACTTGCTGGTTCCCCAAGCAATTATCTTAGGTGATCTTAGTTGTTTGTGGTTAGGTTTGGTGGAGGTGACTAGTTTTCCCACTAAAAGTTAGACCTTTTAGCAGGGGATCTGAGGACAGCCCAGGTGACAAACAAGCAGTTTAGTTGTGTTTGTTTACCGCTCCATTCAGGATGTGAGAAGCACCAGACAATTGGTTGCAATCAATAGCCCGAAATCGGAACTCATTCAAACGGAAACCATCAGGTAGTGGGTTGATTTGTCCAGGCCCCCTATTTAGAACCCGTATTGTGTAGCTGGCTTAGATCTTGAGATGGTTTTGCTCCAAGCCAGAAAGCTAGAGCACTTGTTTGGCTTCCAGAAAGTGCGGGGACCCTCTTTGGAACATCAGGGCTGCTCTAGATCGAATAAATATCTCAACTTTAGCAAAAAGAAGAAGCTGTGTCTGACCTTTCACCCACTCCCGGATTGTTCCTGGACTTTACTCACTGTTTGGTAAGACCGTTTTAGTGGTAAACAAACAATTTAGACTGTTGTTGGCTCATCCACCCGATCGGAAGTGGGTTCACCGCAGGATTTTGGGACCAGAGGTAGGCTTGAGCGGAAGAAGCACAAATGTGGGCATTGGTTTTATGGGGCGGCACAGGAGGGTGGAGAAGGGTTGTCGCATGGAGGGTCTGTCTTGTTGCTCTTGCAAGAAGTTCTTAAGTTGCGAGCTTGCCAAGAACTTTGCCGCAAGCATAGGTGTTCTTTTTAGGTTAGTTTGATTAAAAAATAGAAGGCACTGGTTTAGCTGGGTTTTGTTCTATTGACCAGGGCCAGGCCGCAAGCATTTTCCAGCGAACTTGCTCTTGCTGTGGATTTTGAACTTCGTTTTTTTGCCGCGGGGGGATCTGGCCTGATTGCTCGCTTGTTCTCTGGGTGTTGGACGGGCTCGGCGCATCTAGAAGTTGGTCACCTTGTGGCACTGGCGCTTGCGTCCTCGGTCAGTTGGCTGGCAAGCTGAGCTGGAAAGTGTGAAAGGAAGAAACGAGCCGGCGTGAGCGCAACATCAACTGCGCGAGACGCAAAGGGGGCCGCTTGCGTGCTGCAACAACATGTTTTGCATTTTAGGGTGGACCAAACATTGACAGAAAGCACGTGTTTGTTTATGTGTACCGCGTTCTCCAAGTACCTGGCACCTACACAGCAACATTTATGTACTTCTGTGGGGCCTCAGTCTACGCAGCACATCGAACTTTCGACTGGGGCTTCAAACTTTGGTTTTTGGGGCTGGACCATGTTACTGGCAAACAAAAGGCCAGGTTACCCCCCTCAGCGGTGCCCTTGGCTTTTTGGCTGTTTAGTGTTTAGTAAGGATTTCCAGTTAACCTGCTAACAGTTAAACTTTTAGCGGGGGATCTGAGGGCAGCCCAGATTTTTGGGCAATCCATGTTCATTTCTCAGGACTTGAGCAGAATTCGCAGACCCTTTTCATCAGGGGGCCCGTTTAACGGCTTCCAACAAACAGGTACGACAGGACAATTATGAGTGCAGCATCCTAGAACTCCTTTGCTAGAACCCCTTTGCTAGAACCCACTTGGGGCCCAGCTGCACCCTCAAACTATCTCAAACTTCCCTAAAAAATAATGGTTCGTACCAATTAGCGCCCAGCTGAACCCTCAAACGTTCCTTTTAAAAACGTGGGTATTACCCCCTTCCCCCCCCCAACAAAAAAAATATGGGGTGACTTCCCTCTCTGTTACGGGTAGCTTCAGGGTCCGTGGCGCGCCCAACACCCCCGGCAGCTCGCGACGCGTTTCGCCGAAAGCCTTCGGCGGCGAGGCTACGGAGGCCCAGCGGGCCATGCAGGAGGAGCAGGGCAGCCTCAAGAGCCTGGAGGAGCAGGCGGAAACTTCACTTCCACTTTGGTGCATTTTGCCAAGGGATGTTAGGACTTTAACTTTTTGCCAAATGGGGTTCCATGAAACCACAAGTTAAACAGACCCCCAGACTTCCAGTTGCTTCTCTTTTTTTTGTTCTTTTTAATGTTTTGAAGGGTTCACTTCCAGCTTCCAGCTTCCAGCTTCCAGTTTCCGGTGGTTGTTGGTATTTACAGGGCCCAGACGCTCCTGGCTTCGGCTTCCAATGGAGGACCCAGACCCTCCATTGATTCTTGTTCGTTGCTGATTTTGCTCGCGCCTCCTGGCAGCCGTGAAACGTATGTTGCCTGGCGGTGCAAACAGCACAAACAGCCCGCTTCAACTTGGGCTTTCAGGTTTGGAGGTTGTTTCGGTTCCTTTGTCATTGGTTCCCAGCCAGACAAGCGCCGAGCGCCATCCCCGAGGATGGGAACCACCCGCCCGGTGGTTCCCATGGGTTTCCTCAAACAACCCCCCAAACTTGGTGGGAACTCTGGCCATCCGGTTCAACTTTGATGTTTAGATCTTTTTAGTTGGCTTAGCGGTTGTTTCCGTATTTATCCCACCAGAAGTGAGCTACTTTTAGCAGAGGGTGAGCCATGTTCTTTCTGTTGTTCCCAGCTGAAAGCTATGGGGTCGATAGGCCCAGATACGCTCCTTTGGGGTTTGAGGGGGTCCCTTTGGAAGCTACCAAGAGAACGGGCCAAGTCTTCTCCCATGGAAACTTACCAGGGGTTTTGGGGCCTTCTCCGAAGTTCGTTTGAGCCACCACTCCCTGGTCCTCTAAGGGAAGCCGAGGTTGTCTTCCCCACGAAAAAATGATCACCCCCCCTCACAAAAAAATGCGCCACAATCAATAAATGGATAGATGAAAGTTAGCAAAGCCTAACCCCAGCCAGAAATGGATACGGCCACCCGTTGAACTCTTTAAATGGTGTTGGGTGCTCCATTTCAACACTGGGTTTTGAGTACGACTCACATGGCGGAAAAATTGTCTTCTACTCTGATAACTTACAAGATCAGTGAATTCTCCCCCAACCCAACTCCCCCCCCCACCCCACCCCCCCCCACCCCGGCCGAAAAATGGGGCCGGGGTGTGTTTGGCGTGCTTCCAGGTGGCGCAGGCGCGGGAAGCCGTGCAGACGTCCAAGGAGGAGCTGCGCCAGGCCAGGCATTTCGCTTTCGTTTCAGACATCCCCACCCTTGGGAAGCCAACTAGCAGTACGGGGAACCAGGGATACGGGAGCCTGGAGTCTCCTTCTGACCCTTAAATGGTTGGTCATTACCCAAAATTAAGGGGTCATTGACCCATTTTTTCAGGGTCATGGAGACTCCAGGAGGATTCCCCCATTTGATGCACCTTGAAGTTTGATATGGGAAATGGCGCCAAGGGAATCGAATCCCGCCATATCGGGACCCGCTCCCTCCGTATCCCGGCTTGTTCCCACCCCCCAGACGCTCCTGGCTTTGTTTCTTTTCCGGGTCAACATGCTGCATCACCCAAAGGGTTGCCACGCAAGGGTTGTCTGTTAAAACCAAAACATCTACCGTCTACACCCAACACCCCCCGATGTTCAGGGTTTGATCTTTAGCCTTTGCTAAACAAAACAAAGTTATTCACCTTGGGGACAAGGCCGAATACCGGCTCACAAAATCCCCACCTTAAAAATGGAACTGGGGGAGGGCTTTCAACCTCCATTCCTGGTATCCCATTTGTCCTTGATGGGGACGAGAAATGGAAGTAGGGAGCCCCTACCCCCCCCAACAGGCCCTAACCACCCAATACACCCACTTCAGAATATGCACCTGTAACCCTTGTTGTAGGGCTTGATGTTGACCATTTGCCAAAAAGGGAGGTACTTACCCTGAAAAACAAGGGTGTTTTTTTCCGAAAAATGCGGAAACCAGGTACTTTGGAGTAGGGGGTGTTTTTTTTTTAATTTTCCCCGGTTGGCTTGAAAGGGAATCGATCACATGACATGAGTTCTGATGTTCTCCAGTGGACGAAACCGCAAATGGAGGGAGTAGTGACGGGATCTCAGGGGAGAATCCCAAACATGTGGGTGGCTTTGTTTTTGGGCCAGTCAAAAAGTGACAGCTCCACGGAAACCAAATGCAACTGGAGGGGAGTTTCAGTGACCCCTGTTCTCTCTTCTTTTTTCCAGGGGTTGATTCCCCATTCTTTTCAGCCATCGTTCTTTTCAACAACCCGATCCATTTCTACAGGGTCTTTGGTGGTTTTATAGAAAGATCCGGACCCCTGGGTTCAGAATGGACCTGGAAGTTACCCCTATTTTTTTCGGACGGAGTGGTAAAAAAAAAAAAAAACATCGGCGGCCAACTCCCAGCACCAATCCGACAGGACGATCCAACTTCCCGATATTCAACCCCCAGGTTTCCAAAAAAAGTCCATCTGAAGGCTCCAAATCCACCCCCAGTATCAACTGTTAGTGTGGATTTGTTAAAGACACCAATAAGCTGTTTTTTCAAACATCCAACTGTAGGGTCCTCAAAATCCCCCCCCCACCCCCCCCAAAGTCCCCCCAGCCCCCCCCAACCCAGCCCGCGAGAGGCCAAGAAGCGGCTGCTGCGGCAGAAGGCCCAGCGAGTAGAGCTGGAGCCCCTTGGAGGGAAGGAGGCTCTCCAAATGAACCCCAGCCAAGACAACATAAGAGTTGTTTTATTATTATTATTGTTATTATTATGATTGTTTTTTCCTACAAACAAACACCGATCCCAAGTTAAACAAAAAACATGTTCATCCCAAGTTTTTGGGCTCCAGGCCACCAATCAACATGGGCGTCCGACGTTCGGGGGGTCCTGGAAGATACGTTTCCGAAAGTTCCTTCTGTTCGTGGAGTCTCCGGATCTGACCCAAAATAAAAAAGGGATGACCAACCATGATTTGGGTGACCCCAAGTGTTAAGGGTCATGGAGACTCCAGGTTAATTGGTGGGAGGGTGTGCATGCTGAATATGATTTCCCCCTTCATAGTTTTAAAGGTTGAATCTATCACTACTGAAAATGTATTTAACTTCCCCAGGGCGCTGAAGCAAAGGGAAGTACTGGGGCGCGAAGTATTTTGAGTAATTACCAATTATTTTGTAGGGTCAGAAGGAGACTCCAGGTCTCTCGTTTTTTTTTGTTTTTTTTAAGAAGATCCCCAAATGGCGCAACTCGCGGTTTTCCAAAGAGGTTACCCCAAAAGAGCGACACCCTCGAATCACCAGGGATGGTGTTCAAGCCCAAGAAGCTTGCTCTGGTACTACACGGGAAACGAGAAACAACGCCCGCACTTGAACTGCTATCAATATACCCTCTCCCTAAAGGGTGGGTGGGGGTATTAGCCAAACATGTACTGCCACCCTGTTAGGAACACAATTCCCCCGCAATCATGGGATAGCAACAACCCCGTTGTCATGATCTAGCAACAACCCGCACAGTAATCCAACCAAGCCTGAAAAAGAAGAACCCGGCAATGAGGTCCGAAAGCAGATGTCTAGTTCCATGTTCCACTTGTCTACGAGCTTTTGGGGAGTTTTATCTCCCGCAAGAGAATTCCTGTGAAACAATACAGACAGCGCTTCTGTATTTCCCGCTAGAACCTTACCTTAGTCCCAGCACGCTTCGCCTCTAAACTTTCTCGTTGCTTGGGCTTCGTGCTGGTCTTCAGCAGGGTAGAAAGAGCAGGGCATGTCTTCTTTTTAGGGGACCAAAGTTGGGGGTTTCCTTCTGATGTTCCTGTTAAAACCACAAAACAGATTCACCCTTTAAAAAAAGAAAGCAAGATGAGCCCACAGTTCCGTTGTAAGCTTCGGTCTTCAACCTGCTTAGTATTTTTTGAAGTCGGTGACGGTGGTGACCATGGTTAATGTGTGAGTCAAGTGACCGGGCGCCAGGTGGTGTCAAGTGTTTAAGTGGGTTCCAAAGGCCTGAAGCAACGCTGTATAGGGTCTCAGGAAGCAGGAGGTTGGACCCCCCAAAATGGTGCGCGTTCCTTTTGGTTCCCTTTCTGACGCCAAAAAGGATCTGAAAAAGACGAGCCATGTGGGTCTGTCTCCAAATGGTTTGCTCTTGCAAAGTTTTATACGGAAAGGTTTGGAAACCAACTTAGGGTCGCGACAGCCCATCTGGGGGCAAAACAGGCGGACCCCCAAAACGGTAGTTTTACTTTTGGTTTCCCTTCGAAGCAAGGTGAAAACGATACCCTCCAAACGCACCACTCTATGAGCAACACTCGATATTGTCAACCATCATTTACTGCAGGGGGAACACATGGGCCACATCCACCAAAGGCTCCCCTAGAAACAGAATCCAACCCATTTCCCTCCAAATCGGTGGTGTCCTGTTGGTTTCCTTGAAAAAAACAACCCCCAAACTGGGGGCAAAATTGGTGGCGTCCTTTTGGTGTCCTTGAAAAAACCAACCCAAATAAATAGGTGCACCATGGGTGTTGTCCTTTTGGTTTCCTTGAAAAATGCAACCCCCAAAACGAGTACCATCAAACACCAGACCCATTCCTCAGTGGTTCCCAGCCATCCCCTTAGCTTTTAGTTTTTTAGTGTTTAGTGGTTGGATTTCCATATTTCACCTGCTAAAAGTTGAATAAACTTTTCGCGGGGGATCTGAAAACGGGCAGCCCAGATGCTGGGTACAACCTTGGCGTCGTCCCTTTTGGCGTCCTTGAAAAAAGCGACCCCCCAAACCCCGCAGGTACCCGTCCAACCGTACCCACCCTCGTTTTCGCTGCCGAGCGATCCCGAGGCAGGTCCACCTGGGCCGCACCTTGCTGGTGACCCGGGCCCGCGAGAACTTCGTGGAGCTCCGGTTCCGCAACGCCTGCGCCACGGTGAAGGCAAGGCCACTGCATTTGTTTTGTTCGGAGTTGGTGGGGGTGGTGTTCAGCAGGGAATGAGGGAATGTCTTTTTTGTTTTCTCGACGGAGGCGTTTCTTTCGACGGAGTTTGTGGGGGGGGGGGGGGGTGTTCACTAAAGAATGAGGGAATGGCCCCTACAAGGCATGGCCCCTTTCTTTTTGTTCAACGGAGTTTGTGTTTTAGGGGTGGTGTCTAGAAGGGAATGAGGGAAATGGCACCTTTGCCTAATTTGTGGGGGTGGTGCGATAGGGAATGAGAAATGGAATAACCCCTACAAGCCTGTTCTTGGGCTTTCCTAGGGAATACCTGGGTTCATTCCCTCACTCCCTGAGCATTAGCAAGTCGTCGGGGTGGTCTGTCTCGGCATGCAATCTGAGCCTTTTCTGACTTCGCCACTCAGCAAGTGAGCTTGTAACTGTTTGAAAGGCCAACATAATGTAGGTGTGTCAATATGTACATACAATTATGGGTCATAAACTTGACAGCTTGAGCAAACACAGAGGGTTCGGGGTCGGAAAAGAGAGCGACCAAGACAACAGCTGCACAGCGAGGGAGCCCAGGCCCCAAAAGCAACGGCAGACGCGGGAAGTTGTGCCGAAGCCAAGCGCATGGCCAGCGGAGCCGTGCAAGAGTTAGCGTTCTGGGAATCTTTGTGGCGAATTCTTTGCAACTTTGGGCTTTTAACTTTCTGGTTGAAGCATTGGATGTTGCTTTGGACCCACAAAAAGTTAAAAATATGTTGCAGAGGGGTCAACTGTCTTGGTATGTGAAGAAGTGTTTTCGCCTGTGTTTGCGTGCCATGTTTCTCAGCTGAAAGATCTGGGGTCGACAAAAGAACCGAATTCTGGGGTTCGGGTCAGCTTTTCAGGTTCCCAAAGAACCGAATTTTGGGGTGGTTCGGGTCAGCTTTTCAGGGAGGCTCCAGAACTGGGGCCACCTGTCAGGTGTTCATGTTGGTTTCACATCTGCCATGTCCTGGCCTCGAAGCCCCTTGCGCGCGCGCGCCCCGTGGATCAACGCCGAGCGCGGGAAGCATGGGAACCTCCTGCAAGCTACTGAAGATCACGAATCCACAAAGGGATGCTGCATCATAGGTGTCCTTTTTGGTTGGTTTGCTGAAAAAATAGAGGGGTTCCACTGGTTTAGACGGGGTTTAGTACCAGGGCCATGTATTTTTCCAAAAGGCTTATGGGGATGCTGGAGGGAGACCCACCGTACTTGTCTTCAACCGCTGGTTTCCTATTCATGTGTTCTCTTCAACTGATACGGACCTCACTTCCTAAGATCTGTTTCGGATTTGAGAGTCACTTTTCGAAAGATCATGTTAGTGGCAACAAAAACATGGACTTATGGTGGCCAATCCACTGAAGAAGTGAGTGGAGACAATCAGTTTCTTAAGTTTCGGGAGCGTCGGACCTCAACGAATCCCCCAATTTGCACTGCCAAGGGAGCCGCTTAAAAGTAGCACAACAGTGACGCGCTTTGGTGCTGCAGAACATGTCCACCCCGTTGCATAACATAGTAACATAGGGGGTTTAGGAAGGGAATCCCCTTGAAAGAGATAAAACAAGAAGCAACACCCATCAAAATGGCCCAGAGCGGCAAATCGTTCCTCACAGATTTCGCTTTTTGACTTTCCAGGGATCCATGTCAAAGCTCACGTGACTTCGCCCGCTCTTTGGCATCCAGCGATGCCGCGCGTGGGCGTCTCCGTGGAGGAGTTGGAGCTGACGGTAGCATCCCCGTGGTGCTTCACCAAAGGCGACGGGAGCTGTGACCCTGGGGTTCAGACCACCAAGACAATGGAGGATGGATATGGGTGAAAATTACACCACCAGAGAAAACCACAGGTTTTAGTCATTTCCATGTACCAGGGCTTGACCCATTTTGGGGTTACCCTAGTTTTGAACAGCCATATAACCACCACACTTTTCCTAAGGATTCATATAACCTCCATACGTTTCCTGAGGATCGGGTCAACCTTTGTTTTATTATAAATCATCCTGAGGATCGGGTCAAACAATGCAGGTTGACCCTTTAAGGATTGCCATCTAAATCGGGTCAGCCTTTAAACGGTATGTGCCTTATTTCACCCGGGGGTGAGAGCCACCATCAAAGTCAGCCACAATTTTGGAAGGTCCCATAAAACAGACACGCCCAGGTAGGAGGGAAGGGACACTTCCACGCATGTATCGCTGGTCTCGGGAAGATCCCAGGTTCGCAGCCATCCGGTTCCTTAGGTTCGTAGCTTGCAAGCTTTCGTGGGAGTTTCCACCAAGCCACGAAAAAAAAAAAAAAACAACGACTTTGAGCAGGGCATTGAAGGGGAACAGCCCAGTTTACATTAAGTTCACTGGGCAGAAGGGGGTATACACTATATAAACTACTTTCTGACTGGGTTTTTGTTTAGAGGGTGCAGGTGGCAACTTGATGCTGACATTTGAGCCAATAGGTATCCTTTGAGTGTTACCCGTGAGGTGTACCCCAATGCCTCCAAATCACATATGCCACGTGAAACCATGTTTAGGTTGCTATAGTTGGTATATAGTGTTATAACATCCATGGCGGGAAACTTGGTTTCAGGTTGTCATTCTTTGTGATACCCAGGGATATCCCGCTTTGGTATCACAGGAGGGGTTACCCTGCACAACCAAGATACCGCCAACCTGGGTTTGTCATTTTCCGGTCTAAATATGGATCAAAGTCAGTGCCCCAGATGTCTACATGTCCCAGAAGCCGACGGGCCGGTGTGTTCGGTCTCTTTTCTATCAGATAGCGATTAAATCAGGAGGGATTCCAGAAAGCTTCAACAAGATATTTGAGACTGGAAAAGAACAGCGCAGAGAATACCAGGCACCTGGCCTCCTTTGGCAGTCACTCCTAGTGTTGCGGCAGCTGCTTGTCTTAGTTCAGGTTGAGCAGTCTGCATGAAACCGGCCAACATCGCATCCCGCTAGCTTTCTGTGGCAGACGAAGCGGCTATCGCAAATGGGATCTGTTGCGTCCTTGCAACAGCCCGGCGGACCGACCTCCGCGCTCACGTGTTGAAACGCTTTTCTGACAAAAAGACTTGCGTTTCACCTTAGCGAGATGCTCATTGTTTGTCCCAAAAAAACCGTCCCCAAAAAGAGGGCTCAGTTTTAGAGCGTTTTTGCGTTTCGCCCAATTGTATCGCCCATTCCCTGCCTTCTTCTTTTTAACATCTTTACGATCGCAACGACAGCCTGCAGCTCCACTTCTCGCTGGCGCAAGACATAGCGCCACTACCAAGACTTTACATACAGAAGGACATGTGGGCTGCATGAAGGCAGCGAATTCGGGACATATGCTTTGCAGCTTGACCAGGTAGAGTCTATCGTGCCAGTATGGCACACGACCTGTTGGCGTCCGCGGAAGCATTTTACACAAACTCTCCCTTACTGTGATTATCTGATTCAGCGAGCGCGCAGTGTTTCAACGAAGCAGACAAACGGGTGCGCTTACCGTGGCCAGGCATGCACGCAGTGTTATAACGAAGCGGCCGAGCGGGTGTGCTTACCCTGGTCAGGCGTGTGCGCAGTGCTATAGCGAAGCAGTCGAGCGGGTGTGCTTTCCCTCGTGAGGCGGGCGCGCGGTGATATAACGAAGCAGTCGAGCGAGCGCGCTTACCATGGTCAGTGTGTTTCCCTTGCATTTCCCCTCGCAACCTCACAACGGAGTGCCAACACAGGCTCAGAGCCACGGAGCACCAAGGGCCCGTCAATAGAAACCGGCCGCATTTTGTTTTGGCCAACCCCACATTCCCTTTAGAGGAAGCGTTACCCTTGGTTTTTCGTGGTCTAGGGAAGCCAAAAGTTGAGAAAAAGAGGACGCCATTTGAGCAGCTCCAAGCTTGGAGTCCCTCTCTGTCTGGGACTACGGGCGGATGGGTAGTTCACAGCCCGTTTCGGCTTCCCTCGACTTAACTTCCCTCCCTGGGACCACCCCGCTTATCTTAGGGAAAGACACGCCTGCCGTGGCCACTACCTGTGCCAGCCGCCCTTGGGCCAGCCCCTTGCCCGAAAGCTTCGCCAGGCGACAAGTTGTACTCCCCGGCGGCTGGCCCGCGGGGCGGCTTCCAGTGCCGGCTGCTGGTGCCGGCCGGCGAGAAAAAAACCAAACCACCGAGACCCGTTTTTTTTTTTTTCCTTTTCGGACGTTTTCCTGCGCACGTTGGTTTCTCTCGAAGTCCCAAAAAAAGGGACTTGAGATGTCACCTTTTTTGGTTTGAGCGGGCTGGACCAGTAGTTAGTGGCAAATATCAAGTCTGGTTACTTTTGTTGGCAGGAAGTGAGTTGTTTTTGGCCGTAAGCCAAAAGGTAAAACATGATCAATTGGTCAAAAGATTGGCTTGTGGGGTTGAACGCGATCCTTTTTGTTAGGCCAGTAAACCCAAAGGTAACAAATGTTTAGTCACAAAATAGGCTCGTGGGGTTGAGCAAAATGTGTCCCCCATATCTAACGCCCCAATGAATATAAGCAAATACCAACAAACGGCGCAAAAGTCACGGAACCGCCTTGGGTCCCAGCTCTGTGCATTTTGACAACGAAATGAGTTTCCCGAGTTTTCCTGCCAGAGCCATTCTGTTTAAAAGCTGAAAAACCAAGGATGTTTGGTCTGACCGCTTTTTCTAGGATCGAGTTGCCCAAGGCAAGTTTTCCTATTCCGTTGAGGTGTAAACTCGCCACACATCAACATGCCCCCACCCAACCTCGGATCTTTGAATGTTCATTTGCCATCGTAGAGTTTGCTACATGTGGAGCAGAATCGAAACATGCATGTTTGTTGTGGCACATCTATCGAGTAGGCACTGGGGGAGGGTCTTGGGGAGCACTGTGGAATTCTTGTGTTTAGAATTTGATCAGATGACAATGAGTTTCACCGGGGTTTCACCACCGTTGTTTTGTTTCTTTTTTTTCTCTTTTTTTTTCCGGCTGATATGTTAATGCGGTTCTGCTAATTGTTCTAGGGGCAATAAACTAATTTGTGTCCAACATAGGGCTTTAAAATTAAATGAGCCTTGAAGAACGCTTGCGTGTCACATGTTTGCCACAGGGGTTGGTCTACGGAAACCGTGGCCCACCTATATACAATATGAGTCAATATGAGTGTCAAAACCCATGTGAGTCCTTAGCAATATTGTCATGTCGGGTTTGGGTATCGGTTTCTTGGTGGTGATACTGTGGATGGTTGCGAAATCCATTTCGCACCACCGTTCAGAAACCCTGGTTTCTGATTCGATTCCCTGGCAAAGGCCAACAAGCGCGATGGATTGAAAGTGCTGCGAACAGATGTTGTCCATCCACAATATGGTCGTTGGTATTTTCTTTGGCTGTAAGGAAGCCACGGGCTTCTTTTTTTTCCAGAGCGGCTGCTAAGGTCCCCCAGTAGTGCCCTCTTATCCTTGTTTGAAAAAAAAGTTCCCCTACTAAAATCGACTACAGACAAAAGGGTACTTTTATTCTAACCCCTCTACTGGAGGACCTAGCCCTGTATTCAGCACGAGTCTGGTCACCTAGTTCCCATGCACCCTTCTTGCCGGCTGGGTGGGCTGGATGGGTGGGCTCTTGTCCGGGCCTTCGTGACAAGTTTATGCTCAGCTTCCTACTAGGTGGTCTGAAGGTCTGCCAGATGTAGTCTTTCATTTGCCCTCTACAAGGGCACAGAGTTCAAATTTGATTCCAAAGCACCAATTTGGGGTTGCCTGAACTCTCATTTTGTTTAATGGGTGTTGCAGGTGTGATTCGAGCCTCTAAGGGGCGAAGGCCGGCCCCATTTCGGGTTTCCCGAAAGTACGCAAGCCAACTGGTCGGTGTCTCTGGCGCTTGTGCCCTTCTCATTCACGGCAGTCTGAGAGGCACAGGATTCTGCGAAGGGGTTGGTTCCCACACCGATCGGGAAGCGCAATGTTGAAGTGGAGAAGTTGTGACTTAGGCCTTCCATGTCTTGGTAGTTCCCAGTCATGTGGTTCCATAGGTGTTAGGTGTTTAGTTGACTTGGTACCCCGCCTTTTTTTTGCGGCTTCAACGGAAAATACGTTTTTTCACCCGCTGACCAACCAGAATTCCCACATCTTTTCCTGGACCTTCAAAGGACCATTTTTTCCGCCTTGGTATCACTGTTGTATGGGTCAAAGCCAAAAATCGAGAGCACATTGGGGGTTCAGGTTGTTGTCAGTCATCTTCACACTTCGCTTTGCGGGCTTGTTGTGTTGCGTCGGGGACCGAAGGTTTCCGGCCGGATCGCCGGCGGCGGACCAGACGCTGTCCGCCTTTGTGGAAGTGAGCGCTCCGGAGCAGATGCGGGAATGGAGACTCGACTGAACTTGGTGTGTTCGATTATCTTTTTTTCAACAAATTTAGATGTGTGCTTGATTGTGTTCGTGTGTATGAGTGCTCTACTTGTGTATTAGGGTGCCAACCCATGTCCACTTCGGACCTGTGTTTAAAAGCTTGGTGGCTCCCAGCCATCCGGTTCCTTCGCCTTTAGCATCTTTTAGTGTTTAGTGGTAGTTTCCATCTAATACACCAAAAGTTATTCACTTTGAGCGGGGGATCTGGGGGCAGCCCAGTGAACAAAGCAACATGTTCTTTTCACCTTCCATTTGCCTGGATCACTTTTAGCAGGTTAAATGGAAATCCCCACTGAACACTAAAAAGCTAAAAAGCAAGGGAATGGAGACTTGACTGAACTGGCTGTGAGAGTCAAAACCGTTTTGGGATCCCATTTTTTGTTTGGGGGGGAGGGTTCGGTGCACCACCCATGTTAGTCTATTTTAGTGGGGACTTAGCAAAACAACGCATAAACTTCAGCAAAAGGCGAGTGAAGTCTCTAAACTCGCCTTTTGCTGCAAAGAATACGTGTCTTTCTTCCCTTGAGAATGGAGACTCGACTTACCTCGCCTTCCATTTGTGGCCCAACGGGGGAGGGGATCCCTGGCTGCCGGAAAGATCTATTTCCTCTTGGCGGCACCAGTTCGTCAGGTGCCATGTGAGTGGAATGGCGACTCGCCTGAACTCGCCTTTGGCTGAAACGAATCGCCGTTCTTCCGCAAGGAGTGTATACTTAAAGCTTGGAAACCAGGGAAACCAAGGGATCTGAGCAAGGGGCATGTACTTCCACCCTTGGGCGACTCCCCTTCCATTTCCTGAAAATGATAACCCTTGTTGGTTTCCCTTAAGGTTTTAAAGGTTGAATCTATCACTCCTGCAAGAGACTTGTCATATTTTTCTCCCCGCATGGAGACTCTCCCCGACTTCCCGCGCCGCAAACGCGGACATGAACCAGCCTAGCGGAAGCGGGGGAAGCGGAGGAAGCGGATGCTTACCTATGTAGTTGGAAGCACTGGTTGGAGTATGGTCTATTTTCTCATTCTCCCCTTGATGGTTTTTTAGAGGTTTCGGGACATATGCTATCATTTTTCAGGGGGCTCACACAAATGGAAGTCGCCCTTGTTATTTGTTGCAAATTCGGCTCACTTGCAAAGCGAATCTACCTGATCGATCTCACCCGTTGGGGTTTCTTTTTTGTTGGGTTCCCACTCTTGGTTCTGCATGGAGGTGAACTTAGCTTGGCTGCAGCCTTTCATGTTTAGTCATGGCCCAAGCTTTAGTCATGGCCCTATCTTTTCCATTATGATTTACTTCTAATAGATGTTCATTTGTTGTTGGTCTTATTATCATGTCTTTTCCAATTCCTTACATCTCAATCATAAATTCAATAAGCTAGATAATGAAACATATGGGAGACAGTAATAGGCTTTCCGTTGATGTATGTCTCCTGCAACGTCTGGGTGTCCTGCATCTTCCCTAAGCGTTGCTGAAAAAGACGTTCACTTGGTTCATTCGTCCCCGGCCGCTGGCATCAAGGACCTGTGAAGATGTCTTCTTCACCATTAAGGTGATCAGCAGCAAGAGCAAGAAGAGTATCTTTACGCTTGGCATGTTTGTTTGTTTGTTTGTTTGTTTGTTTGTTTGTTTGTTTGTTTGTTTGTTTGTTTGTTTGTTTGTTTGTTTGTTTGTTTGTTTGTTTGTTTGTTTGTTTGTTTGTTTCTTTGATTGATTGTTTGTTTCTTTGATTGATTGTTTGTTTGTTTGTTTGATTGATTGTTTGTTTGTTTGTTTGTGTCTTTGCTTGTGTGTTTGTTTGATTGATTGTTTGTTTCTTTGTTTGATTGTTGGTTTGGTTCTGCTCATGTTGAGTAGGGGACTGCAAACACCAAAGTCGTGTTTTGGCTGCCAAGGGTTTGCTTTTGGCAGGCATGGTTACATGGTTTCAGGTTATTTGGTTCTGTTCACACTACGTTTGTCTTTTTGCTACCCCAGGGTTGGGTTTAATGTTGATCCCATATTAATCAACCCCAGTTTCTGAGAGGCCCCTCCAAAAGTGGTCAGATGTCCCACATTTCCAGGGAAAAGCACCTCATGAATAAACTGGCATGTTTTTCTTTTCCCCCTATGGGCCTATGGGGTCAACATTGGGTATCTCATTTTCGTCTGCAAAAGACGCGGTCTTTGATTTGTGTTGCTCATGTAGGGAGCCCACAGCAGGGCGCCTGTTACGCCTTTCTGGTGTTTTTTCTCTTGCTAGGGGCCCAGGACGTCTTTTCGGTGTGTTTTTGTTGCTACCCTAGGGGGCATTTCCAGCTTTTGAGCTTTTGAGCTTTCCAGCTGTTTAGGGGGGGATTTCCGGATTTAAACCGCAAAAAGCGATTCACTTTTTGTCGGGGAGTGGGAGGGCGCAACAAAGTGTTATAGTTGCATTTTGCCAAGGGATGTTAGGACTGAACAACTTTTTGCCAACTCATGGATTTTCCGTATTGAACCACTAACAGTTAGTCACTTTTGGCAGGGGAGCAGATTTCGCAACCGAGTTGTAGCCAGGGGCTTACCACCCCTACATGGGTAGCTCAGGGATCCACTGGGCATGGTTAGGACCTACTAGGTCCCCCGAGTTGTAGGTATCCACTTTGCTCTCCTTCCCACGTCAACCATTTTCGTTTGCTGTTCTAGGGGCCTAGGCCACATGTTTTTTGTTTACACCGTTTACACCCTAGGGGCCCCTTGAGGGAGGAAACCTGGGCGCCAGAGACCGCCAGCCAGTGCCAGAGACCGCCCGCCTGTAGGTATCCACAAGCAAGAGACCTTCAGCTTCACCCCCAGCTGCAACGACCGCGGCTGGCACAACATGGTGGAGTTCTCGCAGCTCACCACAGCCTCGGGGCTCATCGACGCCCACTCCAAGGCCCTGGGGAAATCGGATCGGTGGATCCGCGAAGCCGAAAAGCGAGAAAAAGAAGGCGGCGGAAGGCGGAACGGTGGCGTTCGGGTTTATGGGTTTTTGCTCAGGGTGGTTTGTTGTTTATGGGTTTTTGTTTAGGGTGGTTTAGGTTTAGGGTGGTTTAGGGTGGTTTAGGGTGGTTTAGGGTGGTTTATGGTTTGTTTGTTGTTTAGGACGGCGCACCTTTTTTGTTCAGGGTGTTGTGTTGTTCAGGGGTTTTTGGGGTCCATGTTGGTTTGTAGGGGTATGTGTTAGTTCCCATGGTTCTAGAAGGAATTGATGCCCCAGTGTCTAGGTCCCCCAGCAATTGTTGCCAACTTTGACCGTTTCTTTTTTGGGGGGAGGGTTCAACCCTACTAGAATAGACAACAGAAGAAAAAAAGGGTACCAACTTATTTTACCCTCTCAAATTTGGAGGACCTAGTATATGTGTTGTTTGGTTCATGTGCGTCTAAATGAATACGTGTTGTTCTTCTACTAAGAACATGCTTATAAACTTGTGATACTGTGGATGGAAAGTCATATGGGTGCGGGTCCAAATTGAACCACCAGGGAGCCGCAGGTTCTAGTCCTGGTTTCCATTTAGCAGTGTTCCATTTTGGGCACCTGTTTTTGACCCACTGCCAGATGTGTTGTTTGTTTCATGTGTGTTTCAGTGAATATGTGTTGTTTATCTTTTCTTTTGTTGGCAAAGGGAATCTATCACTGGCTGTATTTCATTTTGTTTGTTTCATTTCATTTGTCTGTATTTGTCCCTTTGCCGAATGGAAGAACCGAAAAGGGTGGTAGGGGTTGGGGAGGGGGGGATGGGACCCTTCCATTTGCTGAAATGAATATGTGTTTATTGTCCCTTGTTGGTTTTAAAGATTGAATCTGTCACTACTGGAAATACGTTCTCAATTTTTCCAGGAGACTTAAACAAATGGAAGTAGAACTCCATCACTTTGCCATTCCTGAAATCCATTTCAGTGGCAAACCGAAATTTTGGACTTGTTTTATAACTATTTGGTATCGGATCTGTGGTTTGTTGAACTGTTGAGTGAACCTTTCTGGACTTTTCCGTATTAAACGCATGAAAAGTGGCGGTCTTTTTGCGGAGGGGTCAACAGCAACCCAGGATGGGCGGGCGGCTTTGAGTGGAGTGGCTGGGCCCCTTTAAAAGTTCACTAACTGCCAAAAAGAACACATTTTAGGGCCCGCTATTTCGATTAGGTCCTGGAGTCTCCATGACCCTTTAAAAATGGTTGGTCATTGACCCATTTCTAAAGGGTCAGAAGGAGACTCCAGGTTGAGACACCTAAAGAACAACAAAGTTAACAGGCCAATTCTGTTTCCCATCAAACACCTCACTAAATCAACAGGCCAATTCTGTTTCCCATGGAAAAAAACAACAACATGGACCCGGGTCGTTTTGGAGGTGCACTTGGTCGCCTACGTGAGCAATCTGCCCCTCGAGACCGAGCCTCGAGTTCACGTCCCAGAGGTGGACTTCTCCTTGGAGCTGAAGTCAGCAGAACTTCTCGTGCACGACGCCTGGCGGTTGACTGCCGGGGAAACAAAAAAACGGAGCCCAGCAAAGTCAGGGGCGGTGTTGCCAAAAAAATCCGGAGGAGCCCAGGAAAGGCAGGCGTGTTTCCTTGATATGCCTTTTTGGGGAATCAAACTACCTGGAGTCTCCTTCTGACCCTCAACAAATGGTGGGTTTTTACCCAAATAGTGGTTGGTCATTGACCCATTCTTAAAGGGTCATGGAGACTCCGGGTAGTTTAGGGGATTGCTTTGATTAGTATCATCCTCCGATTCGCATGGTCCTCCGGATTGATCCGAAGTTAGCACAAGTTAGCATTATTTGGCTGGATTTTTTAGCCTTTAAACTCTGTGGAGAACATGTGTGTGTGTATGTTTTCCTACTAACTAGCAAACAGTTAAAGTCAGACTGGTATCTCTGAGCTGGCGCTGCGGGAGCCAGTTTTCAATTATTTCCCGATTTTGAGACACACCATGTCATGTTTTTTCCCACTAAGCAAACGTGTAAAATATTTAGAGTCCCCCTGGCAGACTGGCTCTGCGGGAGCCAGTCTTTTCAATTATTTTGGCCGGAAGCATCGCCCGCGTCAAAGTTCCAGGATGGGCCCCCGCTCTTTTTCGACCAGCGCATCTTGGTGGCGCGTTCTGAGTACTTTCGCAAGATGTTCACCGCGGATTATTTGGAGTCGAGCACTGGGGTGGTGGATCTTCGGAAGGATCCCCAAGCGAGCCACCAGTGCCACGGCTCTTGGTGATCTCCAGCCATCCGGGTCCTTGGTTTGTTTTTGAGCTTTTTAGGAGTTGTCCACTTTTAGCAGACAACTTCTGAGGACCCCTTAAAGAAAGACGGACCAATATAGAGCTGTTGGAAGCTATTTGGGTTCCACAACTTTGCTTCGGGGGCCTCGGATTGCTCCCAGGTGCGTGGCGGCGATTCTTCGATTCCTCTTTACCAACGCCTTGGATCCAGGGCCAGACATGCCAGGTTTTCTTTCTTTGTGCACAGTTCTAGGGGGTGATTCCGTTTCCATTCTTTTCAGCCATCGTTCTTTTCAAAAACCCGCCATTTCCCCAGGGTCTTTGGTGGTTTTATAGAAAAATCCGGATCCCTGGGTTCAGAATGGAAATGGAAGTTACCCCTAGAACAGTGTGGTCCTTCCTTTCTGTTTTGTGTCTCACTTGAGCTCCGTTTCGGACTTGAGGCACGGCGAATTTCCTCCATCGGAAGTGAGCTTGCGGCTTTGATCTAGCTTCGAAAGCTATCCGATTCTTTGGGTTGGGGTTTTAGATGGTGTAGTGCTAGTGTCCATTCAACCGGAAAGTTGTTTCGACTTTTGTGGCAGATCCGAAAACGCACAGCCCAGTTCTTATTGCCTTGGTTTCCTTCATCTTGTTCTCTCTCTCAACTTTCAACCAGCAAACTGTTGTCATTTGGCCATGGGTCAAAAGCCCGTACCCCCAGTGAACATCCCAATCCCCACTCAAACGGAACTAACATGGGTGGTGCACCTACCCCAAAATGGGATCCCAAAACGGTTTGACCACCACGTTGCCAGTTGCAGGTTTCGGGCCGGAATCAACTCAGGACCCAAATATGGATCTGGAGCTGGGTCTGGCGCTGCGCGCCATGGCGGACAAGTTCTGCCTGCAGGATTTGAAGGAGGCAAGGAAGTTCTGTGCAAGGAGTTTCTGGACTTCAGTCAAACCTTTGGGTTACCTGAAACGACCCATACAAAAGGGAAGCCACCCCATATTTTTAGGCCTACAACCCATGTTCAAGGGAATTGTGAGGGTTCAGGTGGGCAAGTTTGGTGGCGAAAAAACCGGTTTGGGCGCTTTTTTGGGCCAATCCACTCAGTCAGTGAGGAACTGATTAAAGCAGTATTGGATCCTCACAAGGGTGGATTGCCGGGAGATTCCCCACTGCAAACCAAGTAGTCCGGCACCCTGGCGAAACAAACATGGAGCCTTGTAGCTGAGATCCCAGATGGACATGAGGCAGAAAACACCAAGCAGGGATACGGGAAGCAGGATGCGGGATGAGGGAATCTTTTTTGGGCCCCAATCAAGTCTACTTTAAAGGGACACTGGTGGTTCATACCTAGACTCTCCATGACCCTTTAAAAATGCATCCATGACCCCTTTATTTGGGGTAATGACCAACCATGTTTTAAGGGTCAGGAGGGGACTCCAGGTAGACCCTCTCTCTCTCTCTCTCTCTCTCTCTCTCTTTTTCCTTGCCTCCTGCATCTCAGTTGATTCTTTTTTCAAGAGCAGAAGTGTGGCAACCTCTCAAGTAAACAACCTCGTGAGACATCCCTTGAGCAACGCCCAAAACTGCCTGGTCTTCGGGTTGTTATAGCAACCCTCGGGTTCAAACCACCATGAAACCAAAGGGGGAAATTATGACCACCATGATTTACCTAAGGAGTGTCATCATCCAAATTCGGGCAACCATTCGTTTCATGGGGGCTGAACCCTCAGGCCTTTGTAAAGCGTTATGGCTATCTTTGTCGAAAAGTCCGTTGGTTTGGGTCGGGACCAGAGCACCGCTAAGAGCACCGCTTGTTGCATGGGTTTCCCTTCAACCCCAAAATGAGGTCCACGTTGAGCAAACCCGTTCAGTGACTATTCTTTCGCACTGTTGTGAAAAGGGGACAAGAGAGAGCCTCAAGATGTAGGCGCCATGGCAACTTGGAAATCACCATGCGGGGGATTGTGGCGGAGGAAAAGTAACGACTACGGTTTCCGTCACAAACACAGAGGAGGAAAAAGGCCAGTCCTTGCGGTTTCCAGATGCGTGCAAGAGATCCCTTTGGGGATGGATTCACAGACTACGTGTTGAGCAATTCGCGAACAGTTCCATATTGAAGAGACAATCGAAATTCGGATTTACCAACCCTTCCCTTTTGGGTGGAAGTTCGGATTCTCCAACTTCTTTTGAACCCAAAAGCAAGTAACAGAACCCATGGGTTTACTTTCCACGTGAACAGCCTATGCCGCCTGTAAACCCCATGGACCCCGTGGAACCCCCCCCGGCGGCGATCGTTTCGGGCGGCTTTTGAAGCGCTCGCTTCGGCTCGAGAAGCGAGCGGAAGCGAGCGCTTCGGTCGAAAGAGGCCGCCCAAGGGACGCTGAAGAAGATGGTCTCGGAGGAGAATTTGCTGCAGGTCTTGGCGCAGGTCTTCGAGACGGGCTGCGACCGGACAGCAGGTCGTCGTGGATCAGTTCATCATGAAATAACGGTGTTATATATATACATATATCGGCCACGTGTGTATATATATATATATTATCACAAGTTGTTGTATTCATGTTCTTAGTAGAAGAACAAAATGAATAATACCGGGCGGCTTTTTCAATCACAGATAGGCTCAGGTGAGAGATTGGGGGCAATTCAACTAGCCCGCAGTTCTACGGTCTCTACGGCGAGCCCTTTGAAAGGTTCTAAGAACCCTTCTGGCCCATGAGAGTCAATGCGGTGAGCAGACGCGTCCTTTTTAGGTTAGTAATAGAAATAGATGGGTTCCACTGGTTTAGATTGGTTTGATTCCATTCAGGGCCATCGTTTTTTTCGGAAGGACTGCTATGGTGGTGAGTTTGAAGCCCGCAAAAGGCCACCGGGTTGATCCCTCCCAGCACTCAGCGATGTCCTCGTGAGGAACCTCATTCCAACTGGTTCCTTTTGTGGCGTTTACCGGGTTCTTGGATGTTCAATCCACATAAGTAGGTTACAACCACGGTAAGTACGGTAAAATGGGGTTGGTTGCCTTAGAACCAGGGTTATAACCTACTTGCAAAGTGGATGGAACATCCGGGTTTGCAACTTGTGTACCTTGTTTCCAATGGGCATTTCCCGGACTTCCATGTAAGGAAAGCAACTAGGAGGTTGTGACTAGTCGGGTACCTCCTTTTGTAGAAAGGGCTTGACATACCCTAACAATGGCTCCCCTGTAACTCCAAACCAGTAGAATGATTCGGCCAAACCAGTAGAATGATTCGGCCAAACCAGTAGAATGATTCGGGCCCCCTGCCCCCCCGAAGGGTGCTTCCCTTTCATCCACCAGGCTTTTCATGGTACTTCTCCTCCTTTTCTAGTAACCTTCAACTGCCTAAAAACACATTGATTTTGACATCCCAAGAGTGGAAGCTTTCTGCAGGCATAGGCTTCCCAGCGCAACATTTCCCGGAATCATCCGGGCTTTTCACGGTCATTGACATACCCTAACAGATGGCTTGACATCCAAGAGTGGCCCTGTTAAACAGGCATGGGCTTCACTTTCACTTGCGACCAAAGCGAATCGACCATTGAACCTGGTCTTTTTTCCTGTTTGGGTTCCCAGTTTTGGTCACTCCGAAAGGTGACCACTGTTCATTCCTGGGTCCCCAAAGGGCAACCTTCATCTTCCATCCCTTCCCTCATACGCCAAATCTATAGATTGGGGAAGGGACGGTAATAAGTAATATGTTTCGCGTAATATGTTGATCTTCCATACTTCTGCGTCCACCGGCCGGAGAATCTTTGACCAGCGAGCGAGGCGAGTTGGAGGCCAGCTGCTGGCAGCTGCTCTCCGAGGACCCGGACATCTTGTGGCGCCAGGACGGGTCACGCGCACCCGTCGTCCTTTTGCCTGCGAAGCGACCGTTTTTTGTTTTTTGTTTCCCTCTTTTCTGACGAATTTTGTTGTTTTTTGTTTTCCTGATTTGCTTAGCTAGGTCCCCCAGTAGTGCCCTTTCTCACCCTTTTTTGGTCATACTAAGCAGACTGCAGAAAAAAAGTTGGCACCCTTATTGTGGATGGACAGAATCCGTTCGCATCACTTTGAAACCATGGGAAACCATGTTTCTTGGTATTTGCAGGAAAACCATCATTTTTGGGCTTCACTTGTCTAGGTCACCCAGCTAGGTGCCCTTTCTCGCCAACTTTTTTGGTTTTCTTCTTTAGTTCCCCTACTAAGATAGACTACAGGAAAAGTTCGTACCCTTATTCTAACCTCTCTACTAGAGGACCTGCGGTAGCTTCACTTGCGGCAGTTAGGGAAAGCCGAAGGGAAACTGAGAAAAGCCTCACCGCGAACCGTTGGTTTCCCCTTTCGATCTAGTCCGCTTGCGAAAAGTCCGGGAAGAAGAAAAACACGGAGAGAAAAAAAGCGCTTCCAGCAAGCAAGCCTTAGGTGTTACGCTTTGGTTTCTGGTTCGTTTGTGAAAGAAAAATGTTTGTATTTTCCCCTGTTGGTGTTTAAAGGTTCCCGGGAATGAACATCTGTTCTGTGTGTTTCTGGGGACTTCAGCAAATGGAGGGCCCCATTCTTTCCAGGGATCCGAATCTTTCTAGAAAACCTCCGGAAACCCAGGGACACTGGCCGGTTTTTGGAAACAATGGTTGAAATAAATGGAACCGGAATTCAACCCCTAGAAAAGTCAACCAAAAGTTTTGTTTCCAGCTCTCCCGGGAAAAACAAATAAACTGTGAGGAGCTGCAGCTGGACGCCCTGGTGCCCCAAAACCCGGCGCGGATGCTCGGAGATCTCGGATCCGAGACCCGATCGCTGGATCGGGCAGGCGATGAGTTTTTTTGTTTGGGGTGTAGTGTTGGTTTTTGTTTAGGGTGGTTTGTTTATGAGTTTTTGTTCAGGGTGGTTTGTTGTTTATGGGTTGTTGTTCAGGGTGGTTTGTTGTTTATGCGTTTTTGTTCAGGGTGTTGTGTTGTTTAGGGGTTTTGGGGGGTCCATGTTGATTTGTAGGGGGGGTATGTGTTAGTTCCCATGCTTCTAGAAGGAATTGATGCCCCAGTGTCTAGGTCCCCCAGCTAGGTTCCTTTCTCACCAGCTTTTTTGGTTGGGAGGCTTCCCCTGCTAAAATAGACTATGGAAAAAGGGTAATTACCCTTATTCTGGCCTCTCTACTGGAGGACCTAGTGGTTATGCCCAGTGCTTCCAGTTACAACTATAGTAGGTAACCATGGGCAACCACCATGTAAACCCTAGAGGTCCAATTATGTGGTTACTATCGTGGTAACTGGAAGGGCAAGATTTCATATTGAATATCCTTTGTATTTTGGAAGTAGACTTTGGATAGATTGATGGACGCCGTTCTGGGGGGGCAATTGGGCAGGGGCGTAGCTCCCTTGTCATTTCGTCTTTCTTCCCCTGTTGCTGTTTTTGTTGCCACAATATCCCCAGCTCCTGAAAAATGGAATTGAGGGAGTTGTTCCTTTTGTGGGGAAGACTAGACGAAAAACAACCCTCCGCCTCAAGGTAAGGGGCTGCCACAATTGAGTCCCCAGGACTTGGTTTTTGAGTCTCGTTGTGAAACCCCATGGACATGTTCTTTGGCCTTTGGCTCAGGATTTGGAGGGTCTACACCTCCTTCGGGGCGGTTGTGTTCCGGGGGGGGGGGGGCAAAAGGCAAACCCAACGCGAGAAAGCGCCATGCGGGGGCTTGGTGTCTCCAAACCCAACCTATACTATGTGTTAGGGTAGACACACATACGAATCACGAAGCGGAATCTAAACACATTGTCCATGTACCAGTTTTTTGTATGCTGTCGCATGTGGTGCGTGGTGCGTGTGGCGGTTTGTCTCCAGGGGGCTGGTTGTTTTGTGGCTTCCAGGAAAAACGAAAGGCGAAAACGGGTGCCCTCCAAAACATGGGCACGCCCCCAAAATGGGTATGGGTCAAAATAAAGCAACCAGGGGACCGCGGGTTTAAGTCCTTGTTTCCATTTACCAATGTTCCATGTTGGGTACCTATTTTTCGCGCACCCAACTGGGCGTGTTCATACAGTTTCAGGGTTGCTCCAAGCCTGATGACCAATAGGAGTTTTGAAGGGGTCCTTTCCCCAGGTGGTGAACATAAATCTCCATAAGGTTCACAAGTTCCGGACCCATGAATATTCATCCCAGGCATCTTCATTTTTGTGAAGACGCAACAAGGTCTTACTTGCAACCAATGCGAATCGATCGTTTCACCTTTTGCTTTCCCCATTTTGGGTTCCCATTTTCAGCCATGGCCCCAAAAGGCTCATATTTTGAGCTCCCTTCTGCAACTGAGAGTTATCACTTTCTTCCCCCCCCCCCCGTCAACCGGGCAGGTCACTTTGGCTTGTTTCTAACACCCTTCGGTTGAAATACTGTGGATGGACGAAATCCTGCACCACTTCAAAACCATGGTTGAAACCATTGCTTGTTGGCATTTGCAAGGGACTCGAATCAGAAACCAGGGGTTCGGAGCGGTGGTGCGTTTTATGGATTTCGCACCCATCAGTATGGGTGCTGAATCGCCAAGGTTCTTTTCCCCAGCTCAAAGAAGAGAGATCATGGAAACAGGGCAGGGGGAGGGGGAGGGAGGGAGCCATAAGGCCTTATGAAGGGCGTATTGGGGCTTATTTAGGGCTCCCTCCCCCTCCCCTCCCCCCCAGCCCCCGTGAGATCCACTTTTCGTAGGCTGAGTCCCTTGGGCAGTTGGCTTGTTCGACACCCCTTGGCGAAAAGGAGTCGCCTCAAGCGATCTGTATGTTTCTTTTGGTCGCCAAAAGGAGTCTTTTTTTGTGTTGTTCTTTTCGGTTGCCCCGTTCCTGGGTGAACGTTTTTGGCAGTTTCCTTATTGTCTCCCTCTTAAACAACCCCGGCTAAGATACCCTGAAGAACATACTCTCAGACGAACATGGACCCAAAACAACATCCATGTTTGGAGGATTCTTACGTCGGGGAACTGTGTTGTTAACGGTTTTCCCCTTGTGGTTGGAACCAGCCCCATCGCAGCACTGGAATGAGATAGGGGAACTGCACTTTGGGTGTTCAACCAACTTTAGTAAGGTGAGAATTTTATCCATGGGGCCAAAGGGCCTGGGCCTTTGGTTCCAAACAAAGTAAATGCGCCATTTCAGTTTTGAGTTCAAAGCCCTGTCCAGATTTCGCCAACCAAAGATCTAGGGGGTACTTTCCCCCTTCTTTCCAGGGATCTTCTCTCTTGAGCACCTTTGGAAACCCATGGCAAAAGGATCCGGTTTTTGAAAAGAACGATGGTTGAAAAGAATGGAAACGGAATTCTACCCCTACAAAAGAAAGGTTGACCCAATTTGGACAATGACAATCCTTAGGAAGACGTTTTGGTTCCATGTTTGCCCCCTTTGTTTTACAGGTGGAAACTGAACCCCAGGAAAAATGCCTTCCATCTGCTTCAGAATATGTTGTATTTTCGCATGTTGGTTTAAAAAGGAATTTATCACTACTGGGCATTTGTTTTATCTTCTTTTTTTTCCGGTGGTCTTAACCAAATGGAAGCAACCAAAGAAGGTCTGGGAATGCTTCGCTTTGGGAACAAGCTTCAGAGGCCTTGGCCAAGAAGCTGATCCTCTTCGGCCGGCGGAAAGTGCAGAAGACAGCCGCGTGACGGTCGGTGAGGCCAGTGACCGCCCGCGGAGAGCGATCTGTGGAACCTGTGGCACTATGCAAACTGGCGGTTTCGTTTTAAGGCCTAGGTCCCCCAATAGTGTGCTCTCCCCTTTTTCAGGGGGAGGGTTCCCCTACTAGAATAGATCACAGAAAAAAATCGGGTCCCCTTATTCTGATCTCTCTACTGGAGGACCTAGTGGCTATTTGGTAGCGGATCTTTGGTTACTTGACCCTTTTTGGTTGAAACTTAGTGGCATTTTCCGTATTGGGCCCACGAAAAGTGAACAACTTGTTGCAGAGGGGTCAGCAGTAAAAAAGCGATTTGACGCGCAAAACTGGGGGTTGAATTGCTGAGAATTGTTTACCAGTTGGGGTTCACTATGTGGGTTTGAATAATAATTGCATCTTTCTTCGAACCCAGACTGACTCAAACTGTCCGAACTTTGGCTTGCTTCAGAGCTGGGAGCAGAAGTCCAACTTTCTTGAAGCCCTGTGGATGGTTGCGAAATCCAGAAAACGCACCACCGTTCAGAAACCCGGGTGTGTGATGATTCTCAGTAAATACCAACAAACGCTACGGTTTCAACCATGGTTTCATTTCGTGGTGCGACGTGGTGCGAAATGGATTCTGTCCATCCACAGTATCAGTTAGTCCAGAGCCCTCTAGATCTTTGTACCCATCGAACGTCAGGTCCAATGGGTCCCCAGGTTTTTTGCCTTCGCGTGCGAGATACCTCGACGCTGGGATGGCTGTACAGAGAAGCGCAAGGGGAAGTCTCCCGGATGGACCTTCGGGCGAGCACGTGCGGAAGCACCAGAAAGGCTTTCGGAAACCATTCTAACCATGGAGAAGAAGCTTCTATGCCCAAACGGGTCCCTTGGTGCCTCATATCTTCGCGGAGTTGTTCGGAATCTGTAACTGGCAAATCAAATCCCCTTGTATTAAGCCTGAAAAACCGTAAATATGAGGTATCCAGGGATTTCTGGGCTAAGAACCTTTCCCGAATCTTCGGGATACCGCCTCTGAATACCTCCCTTGGTTTCTTTCTGGCCGTCGGGCCCCTTTCCTTTTGTGCCTTTGTAAACACCTGGCCCCTTGACCCTTCTTCTCTGCGTCTTTCTGGGTCAAACAAGGGGTCCTTTAAAGCGGGTTTCGAGGCAACCAGACAACTTTCTTGCATTTTGCCAAGGGCTGTTAGGACTTTAACAACTTTTAGCCAACTAATGGGTTTTCCACTAAACCACTAAAAGTTAAACTTTTAGCAGAGCAGAAAGCAGCCCGCAAAAAAAAAATGAAAAAAAAGAGGAAAGGCACTACCCTCATCACAACTTTCGGAGATCTGAAGGCCAAAACCGCGAAGCCTTTCGGGGACCGCTGGCGGTCAACGCGCCGCAGCTGGAGAAAGCAGTTCGGCGGTCACAAATTGAGCAGCGAGTGTGGCGTGTTGGCCTCCCTAAAATAAGCGACAAGCGCAGTCCTTGTCTTCCATTTGCTTATGATAGTACTGTGGATGGACAGAATCCTACACCTCTTTGAAAGCATTGCTAGATTGGAAGCCGTTGCTTGTTGGTGTTTACAGGGAATCATCATTCCAGGGTTTAGTAGGTGGTGCAGGATTTCGTCCATCCACAGTATGTCCGTTATTTTCCCCAGTTTGGTTTTAAAGGGAAACATTCTACGATTTGTTCCAGGCAACTTCAGCAAACGGAGGTTATAATTTAGTAGTTTAGCCCTACAATCGTGACATGAGAGTCTTAATCAAAACCCGGGTAGGAGGATAAGGAACCATCCCCGCTCAATGGGAGCCTTTCATTTCTCATGGGACCTGGGGATCCAACATGTTTCATAGCGATCGGTTTTGACCACACAACCCCATTCTTAGTTAAGCCTTCTCAGTCTCCAAATGTCCGGAGGCACTTGAGTTGAATTAGCATCCGGCTGGAGCATGGAGCAGTGAAACCGACTCCTTTTTGGGGGTTTACGGTTGGATGATCATCGAATCCACCGAAGGATCCTGAACCAATATCAATGTTCTTAAGGGAACCCTGGTCATGGTATTTTCACGGTTTTGACCATGGCACATACGGTCCCACAGTTCCCAATGTCCCGACACGTGTTGTTTTATTTATATGTATATGTACATATGTTTATATATACATATATATATATATGTACATATATATATATATATAATTTGGGGGGAGTCGAGGAGGCTCGCTTTGTTCCATGCCTTCGCAGCAGCTGCGCTTGCACACCTTGAATACCTCAGGGTTACAAGGCAGAAATCTTCCAAACGAGCTTCCAAATATCCGCTTCTTCTTAGGCTATATTTGAAGCGCCAGGCGGCGTTCATGGTGGGTATTTGGAGTTTCTCGGGTAAATCCTCAAACCCCAATAACAAGGCTCGGCGAAAAGAAGAGAGGTTCCCTTGTTATGGCTCCGAATCATGCGTGGGTGGCTCGTCTTCCCCTGTGCTTGGTTTGAAAGGGAAACCAGTAAAAAAGCCACTCATTTTGAGGGGCGAGGCCCTAAAATACCACACCCGTGTCTGAATGATGTTGGCGAGACTCCCACGTTCCTTTCTTGCGGAGCTCGTGGCTTTTTCCGGCATGAACCAGAACCTGGTAAAGAAGTACCTGGAGTCTCCATGACCCTAAAAAAAATTGGATCATTACCTAAAATAATGGGGTCATTGCCCAATTGTTTAAGGGTCATGGAGACTCCAGGTAAACAGAACCCAAAACCAAGGAGCACTTCGCTCTTCTGGTGAGGACTATCACGTACCATCCTCGAGTCGAGTGTGGCTCCAGCCATTTGGTGAAATGCGCGGCCTCACCCGCAAGCGTCCTTCACAGCTCCCAAAGAATCCCCCGCAAAAAGCACGTCAGGGCAATGGGAGCCCCGGAATAATTAATCAACAAATCCTACCAATCAGGGGCTGCTTCTCCCAAGAAAGAAGGATTCACCTTCATGCCTCCAAAACCCATCTTTGGAAATGCCTTTGAAGTAGACCGCAAGGGGATTCAGAATGATTCCAGGATCTCTGAACTTCCTGCTTCACCCCATTCACACCTTCCCGGATCCCTCTCCAGCTGGAAAGCAATGTGTCATCTCTGTGCACTTCTAGGTCGACCAGTGCCATTTTACCTCTACTGGAGGACCTAGACTTCCTGAGTGAAATCGGGATGCTGCGCTTGGCCTGGACGACCATGATGTCATAGAGTTGTCCTGTTCACAAGTCGGTCGTTGGAAAGACGTGTGCAATTGCCCCGCAGGTTTCTCGAGAGCCCTTTAGCGACCCCACACTTTTCTGGCTGCGAAGAGCGGCAAGCTCGGGTTGCGACGGATTTCACCCGAAGCGAAGGTTCCTTTATCAGGAGGGGACCCTTAACGTTGGCCCCACATCCAAAAGTGGTCTGATTCCCCACTAGAAGGGACACCCCCGGGGTTGATAAATATGGAGTCAACATTAGGTGGTTTGTGATTTTTCGCACAGCGGTGCCATTTGTTTGCCTCCTTGGTGCCTGGGACCCCACAGTTTGCGCTCGCCCGCTGCCACTGGCTCTGGGGACAATCAAGTTTTTGTCGCTGTTGGCACCCATTGAGCACTCGGATTGCTTTTTTTTCTTTTTTCAGCGGGGAAGCCTGGGGCTAGTCTCACCTTCCAAGTTTCTGGAAATATCTTTGGCGCTGACGGATCTTTAGACTTCAACTTTTTGGTTGAAACGGGTTGGATTTTCTGTACCGAACCCAAAGGTGAGACTTGTTGCAGAAGGGTCGACTGGAGCCCATTTAGGGTCACCCAGATTGTTTGCCATTTGAGATCCTAAAAATGGGCATGGCCATGTCCTACCGGTTGAGTTTGGGACATGGTTTGCAACAAGTACTCCAAGGAAAATACCTCCGTGTGATTGTCAGGGGGGGACATCATATCTGTTTTTTAAAAACAAATGTAGATGTGTGTGTGTGTGTGCATATGAGTGTTCTACTTGTGTTATTAGGGTGCCAACCCATATCCACTTCGGAGACATGTTCAAAAACTTGGTGGCTCCCAGCCATCCCCGCAGCTTTTTAGCTTCTCAGTGTTCAGTGGGGGTTTCCATTTAACCCGCAAAAGGTTAAACTGTAAGCAGGGGGTCAGTTCGGGCAGCCCAGAAAAGGATTGCGGAAAAACAAAAAAAACACGCGCCGCTGTAGCAATGGCGTAGGCGCTGCTCTTTCTGACTGTGACCGGCTTAGCCCATGCCGCGCGCCACCATTTCAGTGGAGCGCTTGGAGTTTGTCGTGGCAAACCCGCACACTTTTGGACAAGGCGCTTGGGGGCGGCTTGCATTTGTATACGGGGGTCTATACTCACTCACGTTTCTGGACTTTAGTCGCTTTTTGAGGCTGGACCATGATGGTAAACAAGAAGTTCGGCCATTTTTTGGCCACTCCACTCAAGAAGAAAGTATATTATGGCTGTGGGTCAAAACCAATGGTACCATTTTGGGGGTTTTCGGTGCACCACCCATGTTAGTCTATTTTAGTGGTTGGATTTGGATGTTCACTGGGCGTACGATTTGGATTTTGGCCCATGGCCATATCCTGCAAGGGAGCCCCTTTTTGCAGCCACGCGTGGCTGCTGAGAGGCGATGTGCTGCACTCTCCGGTGGCTGGGCCGAAGGGTGGCTTCCAATGCCGCTTGAAAGTGTGCCTTGGCAAGGGAATCTTTGTTGCATTTTGCGAACGGATCTTAGGACTGAATGACTTTTTGCCAATGAATGGGTTTTCCCTTAAACCACTAAAAGTTATTCACTTTTAGCAGGGGAGCAGAAAGCAACCGAGGAATGTTTGCGATGGGATCCCTGGATTCGTTTAATTCTCTTGGTTGATGAATATTGGCGGGTTCATCACTTTTGGAGGAACTGCCCCCTATCCATAAGGACGGGTTATTTATCCGGGGTCAAGAAGTTAGGAGTTCCAGAAGAGACTTGGACACCAGATGCACGGCCATTTCAGATCTCAATTACCCTGGGTTTGCAGTGTCAATTCTCGCTCCCTGCTTGGATTTTTTGCCAGCACGTTTCTTTGTACAGTTTACCCCCAGGCATTGCGAATTCTCGCCCCCTGCTTGGATTTGTTGCTGGAACGTTGTTTTTGCCACCGGGTTACTCCCATCAGCTTTCCTTCTGCCTGCTGCTCAGTGAAGGTACCCAGCGGGAACTCACAAAACGCAAGAGGCGCTTTCTGCCTTCGTAGAGCTGATTGCCCCGCCGCAAATGAAACTATGGAGATGTGAAGATGTGCGCTTCAGCATTGCGGTGATCAGCAGCAAAAGCGAGCAGATACGTAAGGAGAGCACTTTCACCTTCACTTCCAGCGATTCGAACTGCGGCTGGTCTGCTTTGGTGCTACTTGAGCGACTGACCATAGCATCGGGGCTGCTGGACGATGATTCCAAGGTTCACTTGGTGGCTTCAGCCAGCAACTACCCCCCGCAGATGGACTTTTCTGTAAAGCTGAAGCCAGCGAAAATCTTGGTGCCAGATGGTCCGCCGCTCATGTTTGACAAGCGCATCCTGGTGGCGCGCTCGAAGTATTTCGCAACGATGCTGACCTCGGATTTCAAGGAATCCTCCACCGGTGTGATTGACCTTCGCGAGGACGGGTTGCGCTGTTCTGCTTTCCACAAAAAGGTGCAACCAATAAGTTGTACCAGACCATTTCTTTGTTCAGGCCCCTTTTGAGCCTTCCTTTTGAGGTGTTCTGTGGGTGCCAAGCATCATCAAAATCCGGGTGGGGTGGGGCGGGAGCAAGTCCTTTACGGCTATTTACGGCTATTTGGCTGCATCTTTGGACTTTACCTTGTTTGACACGTTGTGAGTTTTCTGCATTGGACCCACAAACAGCTTTTATCTGGTTTGCCGGGGGGTCGTTCCAGGACCCCGAGGCAAGCCACGTTTGCATGGCAGCTGTTCTACATTTTCTCCTCACGGCGTCCCTGGACCCCAACATGGATCTGGAGCTGGCGCTGGGTCTACATGCCATGGCGGACAAGCTCTGCCTGCATGATCTGGAGAAGGCGCCCAACATTGAGGTTTGATCAAATTGTTTTTGTTTGTTTTTTAGGATTGTTGTTCGTTTTTTTGACTTCTTTTCAGGGTGAGTGGCTTTTAGGCTTTTTGGCTTTTGGTGGCTTTTTCGTGGGTTTATGTGGGTTTTGGTGGCTTTTCATTTCGCATCCTTTGCATTCACAGTTCCTGGCTTTTTGGCTTTTGCGGCTTTTTCTTGGGTTTATGCTTGCGGCTTTGGCTTTTCGCATCCTCTGCATGACCGCATTACCAGTTCCTCTCCGACAGGTGGCTTTTTTGCTTTGCGGCTTTTGGTGGCTGTTCTGCCTTGGCTTCCCGCATCCTCAGCATCACCAGTTCCTCTCTGGCGCAACCCGGGGGCTGCCCCCCCCTGTGTTTGGTTTTCTGAACACTTGATCTCTCCTGCAACATTTGGCTCAAGGCCCCTTTTGTGTAACATAGCAACATTCATGATTGCGTGACAAAAGAACCTTTGCAGGCCGCTTACAGGATTATCCACAAGACAATCCACCAGGGACAATCCATCCTCCAATCATCCATAGTGGCATATTGGATTCTCTCCGGAATAGATCCAGGGACCAAATCAACGACCTCTACTACCACAAAGGTACCAGTTCCCTTCTGGGATAGGTACCCCGGCAGTGAGCCTCAATTTGTGGTAGCGGAGCAGGTTTTCCGCAGAGATCCAAGGGAAGATGTCATCCGATGGAGAAGGCTTCTTGGAAGCCTATTCAAGTGTGGCAAAGCCACAAGGCTATACGGAGGAAACATTCAATTCATCGATGACCGCCAAGCAGCCGCCATCGTGCGACGGAAAAGTCAGCTGGTTCAGGTATGAAGAACTCGTGGACGACTGGGTGACAATCACTACCCCAGAGAGGACCTCTGCTCAAGAGCAGACTGACCGGAGATGCATACATGTATAAGGCAGTCCTCCAAAATGACCTTCTGCAAGATCCTGACGAAGGAGTCAACTACTTCAAGAACACGCTGAAGCATTACTTTTTGAAAGGTGCGACCAACGTGTGTCTGCACAGGCTCCTCAGTTTCTTCAACCATCGAAGGCAGAACCAAGAGTTCCTCATTTTTACCTCAAAATTCGAATTCCTTCTTATGAGATTGAAGGCAGCATGGATGGACTTGATGCCAATTTTTACGGCACAGTCCCCAACATTTCGACAGTCCGTACAGGAAGCAAATGCAAGAACAATTGCTCGACATCAGCAAGCAGCCGGTGTTCGAGCACCGCCTCCAGCCCTGCTCAATGAGGATGATCCAGTAGTCCTCAGACAATATATCACGGGAATGCAGGACAGACAGCGGGACGCATTTCCCTTCGGGGATAATCTCATTGCACAGTTTTTCATCATTCAGATGAGCTGTCAGATCAGCAAAGAGAGAGACTGACAAGTGCAATGTCATTGAGAAACATCTCACTAGAAAACTACTCCTATGAGATGCTGAAGACGCATTACCATGAACTCTTTTGATCACGATGAGGACATCCATTCAAGATCCATCCATCCAACCTCAAGGAGGCAACCGAAGCAACACATTCTTCATCATCGAACAAGGTGAATACGAAGGAGAAGAAGGCTTCTGGGTTGAGGATGAAGAAGGACTTGAAGGATTCATGTCTAACAACGATGAAGAGACGTTCTGGGTCCTCGAGGAGAACGATGCGTTCAGAGCAAGGAAAGTGTCGGGGCGGAACTTCAAGTTCAAGAAGAGAAAAGGAGAAGGAAAGTCAGGAAACAAAAAGGGCAGTCACCAACGAGGTGGCTTTAAACCCTTCAGAAAAAGCGGTTCTGGCGGAAAGGCCAATATGGCCAACGAAAACTATGATCCCTACGACCAGGCATATTGGGGAAAAGGCACAGGAAAGAAGGGAAAGAAAGGAAAATCAAAATTCCAATATCCCTATGATGGAAACAAAGGTTATCCATCCTATGAGAATGTCAAAGGAAAGAGCGGACAGGAAAAAGGAAAATCCAAGACGTTCGCAGCCACCGCAGAAAAGACGGAGGAGCAGCCCGCCATCCAGCAGACTGCACCATCCATAGAGCCTACCTATGCCGGTTGGACAGACCAAGACTGGGATCAATCATGGACATGGAACGAACATGGCTGGTACTCATCCCATGACACATCCAGCACAGGACAAGCGCTAATGGCATTCCATGATGCATATGAGCATCATGAGGAAAAGGGGAAGCTGATCCAATCAGATACAGTTTCAGAACACAATCTGTCCGTCACAACAAATCATAGCCTCCTGGCAACAAAGCTGATGGCGCCTGTCATCAACCCTCAGCACAACCCGACCTATGCGATTCTGGACAATGGATGTACCAGATCTATGGGCAGCTGGCATGCAATCCAGCGTTTTACTCAGGCCATCGAACCAATGAAGGACATCATCTCCTATCAGTACATCCCGGCCGAGACCAAGTTCACTTTTGCAAACGGAGAGACCGCCAGGGTAAATTGGACCCTGCATCTTCGATATCGCACGACTCCTCCACGCAGTACCAACATCGACGTCCTTGAACAAGGAACTGTAACGATCCTCCTCAGCATCAGTCAGATGCGGAACCTCTACATGACCATCGAGCACACACCTCAATGTGACAAGATCACATGCAAGGCCTTTGGCATGAACCGTCAAGCAGTTCCAGTGTCCGGCACAGGACATGCGCTCGTCGATCTCGCTGGAGTTGCAAGAGTGAAGGCACATGGAGAAATTGCTCACAAAGGCCTCACCAACTATGTCTATGACGATGATAACAGCATCAAGTTTCCCTCCGGGGATCTCACCAAGAGTGAAACTGCTTGTGCAGCAAAATCATCCGAGACAAAGGAGGACCTAGCAACTCCTAAGATCATTGGGTCTCAAAAGCAGGACCATTGGATCCTTGACAAGAAGAACAAGCAGCTCATCCGTGTGCACATCACGCCCCGAAAGGCGCTGTTCACACCAAATGGAGCCAAGGAGTGTCCAATCAATCCTGACAACTTTAGCCGAGAGCGTACTACGGAAATCATTGATGCATCCGCAGGTGGAGATCCAGACATCCTTGAAGACAATTGGAGACTTACATCCCAGGCAAATAAACCAATGATTAACCTGTGGATAGGTAAGACCATTTTCACCTTCGCGGACAATTTGCTTAAGGACGAAGAAGCAGGTTCAGGATCGGCAGCAGACAGGATCATTGACAAAAAGGGGCGGTCGACCATTGAGCCAGGCCCCTGTCGCACCATCCTCAGAAGAACCAACATCGCTTCCGCTTGCCCTAGGCAGAATCCACAAGCGATTGTCAAATCCCGAAGAGTTGAAGAAGCCTACAGCATCATCACATGACAACAGATCAATTTCGATTTAGAACCCGCGCACTTCATTTGCCGAAATCAACATTCGATCTAACTGACAAAATCCGAAGTGAGTGTGAAGTTTGCCAAGCGGCAAAACATGCACCGTCACGAAGCAAAACAAGTGGACTTCGAGCGGACACCTTTGGTGACATGACATTCATTGATCACTGTCAAGTTCCTCTTGAAACGGGAGAACACATCATTGTTTTTGTCATCCTGGATGGAGCAACAACATTGCTCACTGCAGAGGCAGTAATCGTTGAATCTGGCCTTCAACCAAAATACCTTAACTCCATGTGGTCGTTCATGCTCAGGGATGAAGTGGAATTCCGGATTGACCTCGAGGATGGTTGAGCACTCCTTGTAGTACTCGTACACGAAATTCAGGAATTTTGAGTTTCCGAAAGGTCCTGGGTGTACGGATTCCTTCTGGAGGCTGATGTCCGTACCCGATCCATATGATACAAACCACCGGTCATTGGATGTGAGAACTGGCCGCATCGCTGGTCGCCTTGGAAGTGCAGGTCGATCACCAGGATGATTGTCGGATTCCGTCTCTTCATCCAGGATGTTCTTTGGTGCTGGCTTGACCTTGGAGACAAGCCTCAATGCTGGTGGCGGTGACTTTGGAACAAGTTTCGGATGTGGCATCGCCTTTGACGTAGGCCTTCCTGCGGGAGGATGCCCTTCTTCATCTGAATCATCGTCGTCGGAATCTGGATCATAATCGACCTGCCATGTTGACATTCTCGGGTTGTTGAGAGGCGGATGGATTCTCATCTGCGACTTGCTCCATGGGGCAGTCGGACGTCTCATCTTCCTCATCACGAGCAGGGGATTCCTTCAACGGAGATGCCCGTCTCTTCACCAACGGCTTTGGCAAAGGTGCCGCGGCGCTGGATCGTCCGAAGATCAAGTTGAGAATGGGCATGTCTTCGAAATGATCGAGCATACAAGATTGCAAAGGTCGGATTGGTTGTAAACCGAAAGTGGCTGCGGACGCAGACACATATTTCTTGAGATTCAAAATGGGTCAAGTGCTAAAACACACATCACGGATTTGAGGAATTGATTGAAAATGTGCAAAACGGAAAAACTCATGCATCAGAATTCGTGGACATGCGGATCATGCCCAGGTTCCCCAATAAGCAAACATTGATTCTGCTATACCGACTCCTGCAAAGGCAATGATGTCGGGTCCGTGCTTCGTATTGTGTGCTAGCCACTCAACCAAAAACGCCTTGTTCTGCAACATGGTACGGAAGGGTGGATGTGCGTCAACATTCAAGAGATTTCCGGTGAGGACGGCCTTGATGAGCTCGTCTGCTTTACCTGAATGCTTGGTCAGCGAATCTGCCAGACAATCTTCACTCCGTACATGTGCAAGGTCGTGCATCTGTCCACTGTTGCTTTCCTTCCTCAACATCTGGATCAAATGCATTGTTTCTTTCTGTTCCGGTTGATGTGTTGTGGATGCTGCGGTGACAAGATTGTTCGCATCAGTGCGGATGTGTGCATCTGCGATTTCGCCTGTTATGTCTGACCAGCGACCGCAAAGAAATAATGCTGAACCGTAACAACGCATTAGTCCGTGCAACTCTGCAACAGTAGTGGA